ATTATTTTTTTAAAAGTAATAGTTTAAAAGTCTACCATGGCTTACCTATAAAAATCAAGTTTACCACGTTCTGCGTCACATTTTCATTTGAGGCAGTTCCTGTAATTTATTTTTATATTTTACAAAGTTGTCACTTTCAATATGAATATAAACAATATGTGTGTTTTTTTATAAAGTTCCATGTAATTCATAGGTAAACGTATTGTTTCTTGAAATGTTTTATAATCCATTTTTTAATAATATATTGTTAAAATTAATTTTTGTATTATTTAAAAAAAACATTTTAGCAATACATTTATCTAATAATTCTATTATTTATAAAATATTTTGTAATAATGTAATGTTTACTTATTACTTGGTAGTAGTTTCATATGACTCTATATTGTTCCTTTAACAATAATGACGATTATTAGCTTTGTAAATGGAATCATCAAGTGGGAACTAAACTAAGTCCGAAAAGATGTTGTTTTTGTTTAATTTAATAATCTTGGACCGAGGCTCATCGGTGAGTGATGAAAAGAACTAGGGTTCTGTACCACGGACTAATATGCTTCATACCAAGTGTTAATTCGAGAAAAAAAAACAGCTGATTTGTTATTAATTCAGTGTTCATTTAAGGAATCAAATGCTTATTTTTTAAAATGGCTTTCTTAGAAGATACTTTTTGTAAGATATTTAACACTCAAATTATGTCATGCTTAAATATTAATAAGGCTAATCCCAAAGGTATTAATGGAATTTATTAGAAGCCTAGAATTTTTAAGAGGTATGATGGAAGCAAAGTGGGAACAACTGAAATATTTGATCAATGCGACAGAGTTATTGATCTCTCTAATAATAGTCGGCAAAAAAAAAAAAAGTTCAATTTACACTTTTCCAGCAAAGGGTTCAAAGACTGTTGATTTTAAATAACTAAAATTTCGGATTCTAGAAAGACACGAAATTAGGAAAACGATCTTATAATTTTATTAAGCCCTAATAAGTAATAATATTTAATACTTTTCTACGAGTAGAATCCGAGACGGTCAATATATATTTTTTTAAAATTATTTATTGAGAACTATTACATTCTGTCTCAATTAAAGACATTTATAGTAGTGCTCAGAGAGAAAATTCACACTCTATAACATGTTAATTATTGAAGAACAAAAATTCTTTTACTACAAGGAATTTTTTTATTTCAACATCAGCCATTGAAAAGTTCTTTCCTGCTTCAATAGTATTAGTGGGTTGGTCATTAAAGAATGAAAGTAGTTCTCTGCTAAGCTGGTTATAATGTCAACAATCAAGTATTTATGAAACCATTAGAATTTCAAAATCAGTTACTTTTACCAAGTATATAAACTTCCAATTTCATTGTGCAATATGTAAGCGGTATCTATATGTTCAATATTTAAGATGAATATTTTTCAAAAAAGGAGAAATTTTATTTTTTTTTCTGTATGACAATTTTTGGAATCCTATTAAGAAGATTAGTTGTTTGGAGGTCTACATGATTTATTTTTTTACCAGTGTTTCACATAATTACATTAATTATAAGTTGCATCAATCATAAGTCTTAAAAAATAATGAATATATAAACATACAGTGAAACTCTACTATTTCGATAATTCGGTAGTTCAAACACTCGAATAATTCACCCTGACCATTAATAATTCCGTGGTCTGCCTCGAAATAAATTTTAACCCATCCTGGTGATGAAATTGATATGTGAACGTCTAGGTGATATGAGATCAACCCACCCAATATCTGTAAATTTAAAAAAAAAAATAGTTTAACTGTAGTAACTGATATTATATGATCATCAGAACAATTCGCCTTGTAACAGAAACGCTACCACCTCTGTTGTTTTTATGACGAATGCAATGCATCCCAATCGGCTAACAGTTTGCGGGGAAAAGTTACATTTGTTTGTAGTTTGTAGTTATGATGTGAAATTAAGATGACCCAGCGACTTTTCTTGATTTCTTAATTATTTTTTTCATTTATTAATAAAATGAAAAAAAGTACCCGAATTAATAAAAGCTTATGGCCCTGCGTCCATTTGATATTCACCAATCAAGACATCTTCGTTCTGGACTATATTGGTAAAATATGTTTTTAAAAATTGTTCATTGATGTCAGCCGAATTTTAAAATACATATGTTTTTGGAAATATACATATCGATGGAAATATCAATTCTAATATACCAAGCTCACACACCTATTTATTAGATTTTTTCTATTTCTTCGATTTAAGAGAATACAAACAATTTTAAGACCACACGATCTCAAAAATTCTATCGATTTAATGATCGTGCGCCAATGAAATGAAATGAAAAAATATTTTAATATCCTGGAGCTGTTGTCCCTTTAGAAGAAAATATAAATACAGATTGAATGTCTGTGTGGTTACAATTAGATTGTATATTTACAATAAGAGTTGACTAAAGATAAAAATACTGAAAAGATAAAGAAAAGAACAAGAAAATTGTACATATATATGAGAAACTAAAATAACCTAAATAAATTGAGGTAGTCTCTGGCGGTGCTTAGATATTTCTCTTAAGTATGTTTCACAATCAGTCGGATTGAGAAAGGAGTAGGTGTTTAAAGAGGAGAGGTTTCAAAGAGGAAACTGATTGAGCGTGTCGAATATCAGCAGGGATGGAATTCCAGAGGGAGGCGGCTTGTATTGCAAAGGATTTGTCAGGACGATAGAGGTCGGAAGTACGAGATCTAGTGGGACTGGATTGGATGGAGTATTTGAATTGTAAGCTGTGAAAAATATAGGAGGGTTGATGAGTGCTAATGATTTGGTACAGATATGTGGCTAGGAAGTACTGACGGCGATAGGATGGATAGAGCCACTTCAACTCAGTGTAATACTGGGTAATATGTGTATCCCATGAAATTCCGAAAACAAATCGTAGTGCGCAATTCATTAGGCGTTTAAGTTTGGCCTCGGAATCTCTCGAGAGTCCACCGTACACCATACAGCCATAGTCGAAGTGGGGGAAAACAAGGGAGGAAACTAGGAGCGTGTGATCTTACTGGTTATGGTACAGGTGGATGGAGGGAAAGGGCATCATTCGGGTAGTGGGCCTATTGGTCCTCTTTTCCACTCCAGAAATAATATAAATAATAATAACAGTATATATCGCCTTAATCTCTGTCAAAACGATTTGTTCTTCCAATGAAGTTCTTTCCATTGATGGAGAAAGCATTTTCCGGTACTTGTCTGCACAGATAGTGGAATTTATCATCAAATATCCCAGAGATTTTTTATGTCTTTGAAGTCTGTAGAGACCTCTTAGTGTCCCAATAATTAGTCGAATTTCCTTTTTATTTAGGCCTAGCAGCTATAAGTTGTAGAGGAGGAAGAGTTTAACGTGTGATCTTATAATCGTGAATATTTTTTATTTTTTTTTAAAGGGCTGTCAATAATATAATAATGGATCCTGATATTATAAAACTCCTAAAATATACATCATATCGATACCTGACCGCGCAATCTAGAAATCGATATTACTTTCATAAAAATTACCTCCGATTATCTGATAATAAACATCAATATTAAAGAAATGAAGTATGTTAAATAAATCTATAGACTCTATATTTTTAATTTATGTTTTTTTTTTACATTTGCTAATATATTAGCTTGTGTTGAAGTGGAATATATAAATTAAAAATAGTCGAAACTATTTTTAGATATTGTTACCAAGATTAAGAAAGCACTGGAAACAAAAACAAACTCTTCTCTCTTTTGTTTTCTGTCCCAGATTACTGATTAATATTTTAGCATGTGCATGCGCTCTAACATCTTATATCTCTTGTACCTTAACTATCTTGTCTTGATGTTTAGATGTGGCATGCCATACTATTGTATATAGAATAAGCATCTTTTTTTTTTGTTATTTGTATTATCTTTATTATCTTAAATATCTTTCTATTTATCTTTAATTGCATATAGTAATTATGTTTGAATTCTCTCTTTTTCCTTGTATTTTATTTCTTTTTATTGTACATAGCATTAATTCTGTAAATATTTCTTATTGTAAATAGATCTGTTAACCTTTTTTGCAGCTTTATAAAAATATCCAACCTAACCCCTTCTCACCTGAGCTAGCATGTTAGCATAAATGATTAATCATGGCCAAATCATGGGTATTTACTTTATGTTTTCTAGATTTATCTCTTTAGAGATGAAAGGCTGGTAAGTCAGGCGCCCAACAAATAAAAATTCTCATGGAAAATTATATTTATTAAAAATTATTTTACTATCTTTTTATTTTATCCTTTTTTTGGTCATAATATGATAATAATCTATTTTAGCTGTAAAAGTGACTTTAGCAATGCTGAAATATTCATAAGAAAGGAAGCCAGCTAATGTTGAAAAAATGTTACAATTACTGTACAGATTCAACTTTAATTATCCTTTTCTGAAAACTTAGTTTCTGTCAAGTTTACACATTTCATATTTCTGATGTTATGTACTGAACTATTTTATTGTTTGTATGATAATATGTTATTTTCTTAGTCCTGATGGAGGCCTTGGAGACCAACATAGGCCGAAAAGACTTTATTGATTAGAAACCAATCGACAGTGTCATATGAGACAAAGGGAGTAATGACCAACCCGATATATACATCGGAAAATTTTAGAAAATAATCTAAACTGATGATCACATTCAATTCCTTGTTCATCATTTACTTGCTTAACGAATGAAAGGCTTAGGAGATTACTTCTGCTTAGGAGACTACTACGCATTTCATTCTGGTTTCCGAGGGAAGAGTTTAAGAGAAATGACCTCGGTCCTGAAGAAGTCATAAGTCATTGTACTTGAGTTGATAATAAATAGAGCAGTGCTTAAGTGCTTAGGCCCATCAGGATGACTATATTATTTTATCGATTGTGAATACTGTTTATATAATATCAAGCACGCAGAGCAGGTCTCACTAAACCTGGAGGGGGTCCAGTGACCTAGGAGTACGGTAGCCCCCTGTCAGTCTGATTCGAGATGTGGTTTGCCAGCCTTCTTCTTCTGGGGTCTCTGGTGTCTTGTGGCGTCTCTGCCACGATCAAACCAGGTATAGAATCCTTTCACAGCAATTGGCAAACTTTGATGTCTTTAATGATAAACGTTAAAAATAGTAAATAATACGTTTTTTTACATTCAGACGAAAATATTTGAAGATAAAAAAAATAAGCAGTACTGCGAAAAGTTATAACAAGGGCAAATATAAAATTTATTCAACATGCTGGTAGTTAATCATTAATATATTGTCAACGATAGTTATAGGGTAGATTTAGTGTTGCCCAAATGCGAGACTGAGACGAGTCTTGGTCTTGCAAACTGAGTCTTGGTCTTGCGCAAGAGTCTCGCAACAGTCTTGCAGTTACTTATTAGCTTATTACGATACAGATATTACTGTATTTTTTTAGATAGGAGAAACCTATGTAAGACCGAATGAAAAGTTAAATGCAAAAGTATATTGATTATATCACTTATTAACATATAGTAACTAAGATTGTCAAGTATTAGTAACTATTTTGTCTTTATTTTTATTTTAAAAATCGATTTTTTTTACCAGTACTGGTCTTGGTCTTGCAACAGTTAGGCAGCCTGTAATTGCAACAATTTTTCGACATTAGCTGGATTGGGATAAAATTTTGCTTCTGACTTTAACATTGAAGATGCTCCCATTATCCATTATTCTGTGATGGTATAGTCCCCTGTTTGTCAAATTATTAACATCTGTCTAAAACTCTGTTAATAGCTTCACGTCATAGTGACCTGCAACTTTTTCATTTACAAACATTTTCGGAATTTGGCCAAGACCGATTTTGGGCAACACTAGTTAGATTTTATAGTTGAATTTATATTGTATTATTTACGCAATACAAGTATTTATAAACAAACAAAACATTTACAAATAACATTTGAATGGACGGCGATACAAAGCAAACCTTTCTTTTGTATATTCATGCTTCCCACGGTAAGACAGAAGTACTCCTCTGATGCGGTACTTAATCATGCCGCATTAAAACGTACGCGCTAGTGTTTCATTACATTCCCAAGTTCGTTTTCACTATTTACCTTTTTTCAAAAACACGTTGTTTTTTTTTTCGAATCGTCACTGGTCGAGATATCAGTCCATGATTTCGCCTTTTCTAGCTTTTGATTTGAGCCCAAAAATAAAAGTTCCTGGCGTGAGTACTGCGAATGTAAAGAGGAAAAACCTAACGAATACTTATATACATACATATCGGTACCTTGGAACAAAAGGTACCAATATTCAAAAGTGTTAAAAAATCGAATGAGCTGATGGAGAGAAATCAGGGTATGGCACAGGCGGCTTTACGGGGGGGGGAGGAAGGGGCTTTCGGACTGATGCCACCCCCCAAATGGTAAAATATGACCATTTTTTATAGAAAAAATTATTAGAAATTACCTCTTAAAGTATTATTGTTCGTGTAATTACATTTGATAGGACTTCAAGAATCACTTAAACACCACGTCATATAGGTAGTTAGTTTATTTCTTTTTTTTCAAAATTATTATCGTTATATATATATAAAAAAAAAAAGCTTTCGGGCAGAAGCCCTCCAAAAATTAAATCTTGGATCCGCTAGTAGGGTAGGATATACATTACTGTTTGAGGCGCTACTGTCCTCTCATTACTTGTAAGTCTCAATAGCTAATAATTGGAGAACTTTAGTCTTTTCAACAATTAATGGTTACTCTATCCTGATTTTTTCCCGCACAGTTTATTCAAATACCAAAGTTTTGCATATCTGCTCTTTTATATTTCATTCATTTCGGTTTTTACTACATTCTTATGACATATAATTATTTATGTCACTATGTTTTATGTTATAATTAATTTATTTTAGAATAATTATAATTATTATAATTGTGGATTGATTGTAGTGAATATTTCGCATAGAAGATTGGTTAGGGAGATCAGTAAAAAATAAATGTAAAAAAAATTGTTATATTTATTTTTATTTTTACCGAAGTTCATGCCTTCATCGAGACTGATAAAACGAAAGATTTCCACAAGACCTTGACCTTGATAAGCCCTGATGAAGGCCTGAACTCTAGGCCGAAACGTCAGCAGAAATAAATATGTTTATTTATTTTTATATTTTGTTTTTACTGCTTACCCCGACCAATCCTCTCTAAAATTATTATAGAGGTATCTATTATTATAATTATAATCCTTTGATACTTCTGTGCGAAAAATACAATGTTCGATATAACTACAGAGAAATTTAATATTTTATCTTCTTCCTCTATATAGAGACGGCACTCTCGGAAAACTCCGCTAAATCTATTTTTTTATTTTTGTTATTTAACTCCAAAAACCAGATAAACTGTTTTATTGATACCTTGTGAAGTTGCCGAGAACATTTCCAGTTGGCAGAATTGTCGCTGTTTTTATTGAATCGTTCAATTGAAAAAAGAAATATTAGATTTAGCCTACGTCGCGAGTTTGTCCTTACTCGCCTCTCGTGCGGCAGGAAGACGAGATTCATCCGTTCAAGGTTATGTTTAAACGGACTTATATTTATTTACTCACGATAAAACCAGTTTTTTTCTCAGACCGTTCCTCCACAAGGTTCAGTAACATCTCGTTTTATCCTATTTATTGATATTTCAAATCTTCATTTGAACAGCTCATTTTTTTTAATTTAAAAGATATTCTTCATCCGCGAATTAAAATGATCATTCTTCCAGGTTTTTTTAGGTTTTATTTGCTATGAGCACATATTCCCTATTTAATTGTTTACAACCTAATAAAATCAATGATGTTGGTAATATCCTATTTCGTAAACTTACTTAACTTAAGACTGTATATTACAATATAATAATTTCAATTTCAAATTTACACATAATAAAGAGGATGCAATCAAAACATTTTTTTTTTTTTTCAGAAATATCTCATCACAGAATGTTGAAAATGTTTTAATCTTCAAAAATTATTCCTCCAAAAATTAATATTTCTGCTTCTTCTATTTTCCTATTTTATGTTTAGATAGAACAGTAAGCAAATATAGATACATACATTTTTATTTATTTATAGAAAATTATATTTAATATGTCTTAAAATTTAGAATGATTAATCCAATCTATTTGCGAATTTCAAATGTAAATTCATAACAAAAAAAACGCTGCAAATTATTTCACAATGGTTTATTATTTCCAAACAATTATACTTCTAAAGTACATTACTTTCCTAGTGACATAGAAAAAGAAATAAAAGGTGATTCCTATTGGCCCAAACATCTTTTTTTTAATTTAGTAATATGCTAAAATAATTAACATTACTTCAGTAATACCTTCAAAAATCAAAAACTAAAACAAAGGATATAACCTTCGCAATAGAACATATAAAAAAAAAACATTAGAGACCACATCTTTGCTGCTAATTGTCCGATTTTAACGTTTTTTAAAGGAAATTTCGTAAACTTTTAAACAATAGTCTATAGCAACGGACTTTTTTCGGTCGCCATCTTGGAAGGAAAAGGTGGATAGAAAAGTCGATGAAGGAGGTTCATCCTCGGGTGACCTCTAATTTTAAAAAAATCTGTTCCGTAGTTTCGGAGAAAATAAGCGGAAGCCAAAAAAATGTTTATTCGTTTTTCTAACTCTACATATCCTGAAACGTGAAACCTCAAATTCTGATAGCGGTTAAGTTTTTAAATTTTTGTTCGATCACAATGGTTCATTATTGAAAATAATAATAAAAAAAAAAAAAAAAAAAAGGAAAATAACAGTAATTCGAAGCCATTGCATGTTTGTGTTGAATTTGTCATTCTTATGTATTTTACAACGAGGGTAAGAAAATTTTCCAACTGGTGAGCAATCTGATTCGAAGTTGTTGAGGTGTTTTCTTGACGACAATACAGTATTACCTGATTTACTGTATTAACTGTGTTTTGTTTCGTTCTTTTGTGTATTAGTTTGTGAAATATCCCTAATTTCCTTATATATTTAGTATTTTCCTGTTTTGCTATATATTTTTTTTTGTTATCATCTAAGAAAGATTTTGTCCATTGTCGGGTCCAATTATCTATATCTGAAAAAAAAAATATTTTGACATGAAAAATATTAAGTGAAGTAACAAAAATGCAGAAGAACCAAGAAGGAATCTGAAATAAAAAAATATTGGTTATTGAGTTTTAGTAGAAAAAACATTATCAGTGATACCAAATTTCTTATTCAATAATTAATTCAATGTATACAATCCTAATTATATTTTAATACAGAAATCATTAAATTGTTGGTCATAATATGCATACTTTGACAAGACATTCGGTTTTAATTAAAACAAAATATGCAAACTAAACTCATATGTACTTTGTCTACTGTTTGTATGTACATATGTACTGACACGATTGTTTGTTTTTTTGGTCTGCTGAGATGTATTGTATATTGTTCTGCATACATTTTTTTTTTGTTTTTTTTTCTGTCCTGATAATGTCTGAATTGGCGCAACGTTAATTAATTAACCGTCCACCTACATATACATAAGAAGATTCAGGGCTGTGTGCTTGAAATTTTCCTCTTCATTCAAAAAATTAATTCCAATAATTAATTGAAATCACTTTGTGAATGTTTGCTCTGTTATAGAATTTTGGAGATGAAAGTATAAACTTGAAAACCGACATTAAAACTTTAAAAATTATGCTTCCCTTTCTGGACAAACCAATATCCCAACATTCCACAAACATGGTTTTCTAATTGAAGTTTTAATTTTAAATGGAAAAATATCTATTATTTTTAAAAATATTATGTATAATTCGATAGTTATAGGAATAAAAACATAATATAATAATTTACATTTATTATCAGCCACTAATATTATTCCCGAATTCTGTTATTCGCAAAAGTTACAAACAATAGGATGAGATATTAATGTCAGAGCATTTTCCTGGATAAATCAACAAATATTGTGTCTCAAATGTTTATATTTCTTCTGTACACTAACGGACCCAGGATTTAAATTTGGGGGGAGCTTCATCACGAAATTTTTTTTGTATGTATATATTAGGATAATTACTTCGGAAGAAAGAAAGAAACTAACTGTCCATATGAAATGGTATTTAACTGATTCTTTAAGTCCTAATTAATGTAATTACACAAACAATAATACTTTTAGAGGTAATCAAAAACAATAATAATCAAACATGGTTATATTTTACCATTTTGGGGGGCTTCAGCCCGAAACCTCCCTTTCCCCTCCGTAGATCTACCTGTGCTTCTGTATACATATATCCCCTTGGCGATGAAACTCAATATATATATTTTTTTTATTTATTTATGATATTTACTACTTTATTAACAAACACACCTAGTAAATTAATATTAATTTTTAAAAATATATAACGATTTCAATGCTACAATTGTTTTCAATATTCCTAAAACATAATTAATGCCTAATATCTTAAAAAAAATATCAGAAAGTCGTATTTATGGTTTCGAAACGCAAAGAAATTACTGTTTTTAAGACAAATTGAAAAAAATAAATAATTGCTTAGAATGCATTTTGAATAATGCTTTGACGTGAGTAGGTTGTATATGTGCGTCAGCGAATTCAGATGCAAATTACATTATATCAAAATAAACAACAAAAGACCATTCCACTTCGGCTAAACCTATTTGGAATAATCTCAGATCCAAAGAGAGGCATCAATGCCATTGTTATATAATTGCTTTTATTATCGTTTGATAAGTAATAATCATCGTCAAAATGAAACGACAGACCTTAAACAATACTGGAAATACTGTTCTCACTTTTTTCTAAATCAAAATTGAAAGCTCGACAAAAACTAAATACAGACACTTACCTACTCAAACCAATCTGTACATACGCCTCTCAGATTTACGGTTCGGTAAAAAAGACGTACTTACAAAAGTTATAGTCATTTCAATCCAACATTTTAGGATTTGTAACAGGAGTTCCCTAGTACGTTAACTGCAAAACTTTATATAACCACTTACGACAACCAACACATACGTACTCTCTACTCTGGATTTTATTCAAATTACACGGACACAACAACAGACTTATAAACGACATAGCCACGACTGACATGCCCATCAGGAGGAGAATGAAAAGGAGCTGACTGATAGATCTCCTCACCTGAATCAAAGAAGTAAACATAACGGGGAAGAGATGCTGCTGGGTCCAATTCTTCCTCATGCGTATAGTGCAAATCATTTTTTATCACAACCAATGTGCTGATTGTCAATACCATGACAGGTGCTTATAGATATTTTAATTACGTAGTAAAATAAATAATATATATATATATATATATATATATATTTTTTTTTTACTCTACGGTAATTAAAACTATAGCACCGTCATGGTATGACAATCACAAATATAATAATATATATATATATATATATATATATATATATATATATATATATATATATATATATATATACGCTACAATAATGTAATCGATATCGTATATGAAAGGTAGAACAAGCGATTTTAATTAATCATGTTAAACATGATATTCCAAAAGGGTATATTCAGTATATTCAGAGATCTCTTAACTGATAAAATAATAGCCTTAACTATTTCCGCGATATATTTATCATAACAACAAACATCCTGAAACATATATTTTCCCACAAATTCAAAAAATGTCCTTCATACTGACCATGAAACTCGAAATCATCTTATGCCAGAACTAAGTGTGACGTAATGCTTCGTGATCGGTATGTCGGTTGGCATTGGTCGTAGAACTATTTCTAGCGGCATTGGATAAGGTCAGTATTTCATTCGACGTTAAAACTGAAGGTGGTAAAGTCTTCATTACCGGTCAGGATACTTCGAAAACTTATTTTTTTGCATCTAGTCTGTAGAATAAATAAAATACGTACCGAAGATAATTCAGAAATCGTCCGCAATCTGATTGCAGTTCTGCAGTGAACTCAGCTTGGACCAATCTGATACATGGTTTTAGACATAAGCCAGCATCAACTCGGAGGGGGGCAAATTTTGACGGGTTTTTGATTTTTTGAGGAAGGAAATTTCAACGCGGTTATGAAGTTTCGTAGAAAAGATGGAACATACGGAAAGAAGTGTAATTGTGTTTGATCTACGATTTTTCTAATTCCACCTTGTTTTTATGAAAAAGTGAGCAATAAACTATCTTTGAAAAGGCGACGAGGGGAGGAGGGAGGTTCTTGCGCTATCGAGTTTGGCGGAGGGGAGGATGAGCATACTTGGGTGATATCAATATAAATCACCTGAAATGGCCAATTTTTATAAGTAATAAAACTTTTAAAAAAAGTATTTTTATTTAATTGTATTTATTTATTGAAATTAGAACTGTAACATAATATTTTGGTAACAATATACAATTAATATCTTCATATCTAGTTTATATCTTTATGACATCGTTTATATCTTCGCTTTTTTCTATTGTTAGTAACAAAATAATAATATATTTAATATAGTTTTGTATCCAGTTTAATTATATTTCAATCGAGTATCGGGGATGTTTAAGCGTATGCATAATTTAAAAAAGTGTAATCCGCTGAGTTCCTACTTTCTTCTTATTTTCGAATGAAAAAAAGATGAAAAATGGTCAATTGTTTTCAAATATTGTTAAATTAAATATATATGGCATGTCTTCACACACTTCTTCCATACAATGTAAGGAAACATTTGTTCACTGAGATAGGATCTAGTTAAAAATATTTAATTATATATGTATTTTTACTTGCACTTACCTATGATATGTAATATATAGTAAGTGTAAGAATTGAGATCGTGAAAATTTTTTAATCTGAGTTTTCAACGGAAATACACGTTTTGAGGACCCTTGAGTCCAAATCACCAAATCCCGAAAAAATGGTGTGTGTGTGTGTGTGTATGTGAATACTAGCTCAAAAATACAAATCTCTCTATTCCGTTTTAGTAAACTTTGCAATGGAAAATAACAGTTTAATAACTAATAGTCCTACAATCCATAATCAACGGATAGTTTAATCGATAATTAACGAACCGTACAATCCATAATCAACCGGTGATATAATAAATAGGACTTTTGTTATTTTAATAGTTTTTATGATTTGTTAGCTGAAATCTTTTAGCTTTAGCTCAGTTAAAAATGCAGTTCAAAAATTTTATAATAGCCCAACATGACCAGAAAATAATTTATATTCAAAGTTGAGCGGTAAGTGAAACTTGTGTGTTGTGCACACCATATTTTTTTTTTCTATGCTATTTAGAAAATTAGGATAAATCTTAAAGATGCATTGTGAATCTTCAATTATATTCATAGTTTTGGGCTATCAACAAAAGAAATAAAGGAAATCGAATTACCAACAATAATGTACAAAATTCAAAATGTCATATCTCTGTAGCAAATGGTCCGCTTTTTATGATTTTTTTTTTCGTTTTTTATTGTAGGAAATATCATTATTTGAGAAATAAACACATTATTGATAAGGAAAAAAAACAAGACTAATTTTAATTTACATACGAAATTTGAACCTTTCAACTTTATAAAGATGGGCTATAGAGATAGGAGATATTTTAAAAGCCGAAAATGCGAAGTACCGTTCGTACATATTGAAAAACAACTAAAACCCGCATTTAAGCTGATTTGATCAAAAGGGAGCCGCTGAGGTTACCGAAAAGTAGCCGGGGAAAAATATATTTATATAACACATATGTATTTATATATATCTAAAAATTGCATGATGGTTTTCTAATTATTCCAAAACGGATAGAAAATGACATTCCCGCCTTCAACTGACGACCTTCGACACAGTGCAAATGCCTATTATAGGAAAATAGAGAAGAAAAAGTGAGATATTCAACCTTCGAAACAAATATAAAAAAAAAATTTCAACCACAAAGCTTTACGAACATAAATCAAAATTTTCTCCCATGTAAGGTCAGTATAGCGTCCAAAGTATTTTGATACATTTGATACACAAATATCCAAAAAAATAATAATTTCAAGGTTAATAATTTGTGTTTTAAGAGAAACTACTTCTAAGGCATACGTGTAAGTGAACTAGATGGTAGATTTTTATAATATTTTCACGTGGCCGCCTATGGACCAATAAATATTATCAGTAAAAATGATCAGTTCATTCCATTCCTGATATGATGTTAGTTATGTGAAACAATTATCTAGAAACAAAATAAATATCGCAATACAAACTATGAAATGTTTATGCCACTACGGTTAGCTCTATATAAAGAACGGTCGAATCCGAAGATGTACAGCTAAGATACGATTTAAAATAAACAAATCATAATCTAGCCTAAATTTTTCACTTAATTACTGTCGTTTTGAAAGACTGTTTTAAATAATTAGCTAGTTAGAGTTTACAAAGTTACGTAAGGTAATGACCTAAGACCTGTTAAAGAAATTATTTATAAATACTCCGTATTTGTCATTAAAAACCTCATGCTTTACTCAACAAATTGAATGTTTACTTTCATTGCAACATTATCGATAAATCAGGTTTAAAAAAAAAATAACCAAAAAAAAAGAAGAAAAACTACTTTAGATTTTAGAGTTGATAATTACAATCCTGAATAAATACAATCGCAAGCTTTGATCAAGAAAAAGTAGGTCTTAACCAATTATCTACTGAACTTATGACACTTTATTGGTTATAAGAGTAGGTACAGTTTTAGTTATTATTATAATACTGTCTTCATAAAATATATAATTAATTGTTATCCTCATTTTTTCCTATTTTCACATCTACATTGAATACATCGGTAATTTTTTTTTCTTTTATTCCTCATAGATGTTTTATTTAACATTTATAATATTTCAAGTTTATCAATTATTCGTCCTTTGCTACATTTATCTGAAGTCTGTATTATTATTTAAAAAAAAATCTAAACTACAACAAACAAAAACGAATGAAAATTTATGGCAAAACCAAATTTATTAAAAATTATTAATATTTTAACGCTTCAATTATAAGTTTTTTAAATAATTATATTAACATTTTTTTCCCCAGCAAAATACTACTTTGACATATGCCACACTTCTGATCCTAAATATAACGATTGTGTCAAGAAAACATTGGAGAAACTGAAACCCCAATTGATTAAAGGTAATTTTTTCTTCTTTAATGTTTTTTCTTGGTTGTATCATGGTTTGTTATTGTTATTATATACCTGTATATTTTAATACTTTATATATATATATATATATATGTATATATATATCTTGCATATCTTATATATATATATATATATATATATATATATATATATATATATATATATAAATTATATAAATATATATATATATATTATATATATATATATATAAAGTATTGAAATATACAGTATATTATATATATATATATATATATATATATAGATAGATATATATATATATATTATATATATATATATATATTATATATATAAAGGATATGCCAAGATTATATGGATATACATATATATATATATATATATAAAGTATTAAAATATACAGGTATATAATAACAATAACAAACCATATATATATATATATATATATATCTTGCATGAAAATAATATTTTATGTAGTAGTATAGTAATATTTTATTATCTTCTAATCAATTATAAGTGTCAAACGAAAAGCCACTTCATGGAAAAGTGACGATTCATTATTTCGATCCTTGAATTCCTTCAGAAACTTTAATAAAATTTATTGAATTTATTAATAAAATTAATGTTTCAAATAAGGGGCGTTTCAAACGTCGGAGGATCGAACGGTATAAATTTTGTTTTAAAGATTTCGAGAGGAACATAAATCGAAGAATTTTGATATTTAAATAAATATAAAAAAAAAAAAATCCATGTTAGTCGTCTAAACTCTCAATAATAAACGTCTATACTCTTAGTAATTGAGAGAACTATGGCTCTTCTGTACCAAACATGAAGGTATTGGACGAGTACAATAATGCATTAGTATTAATTCGGGGATGGCTGTGTCTTACTTTAGATTTTTATTAGAACTATAATAATATAATCTGCCACAATTAAGGGCATAGGGTATTATGGCTCTATATGTACATCCATCCTATTTATATACAAACCATACTACAAATTGAAAAGATGTAATAAAATGAGAAGATAATTTTAAAAATATATAATAATTATAATAAATTAAAACTAATAAGTACAGTCCCTACTCCACTACTTAGACCACTACAGCGCAGGTTCGATTCCTGCAATTGCTATTAAACTGGAGAGATATTTTTCAGAGGGACAAGCTAATCAGTTATTAAGTTAATTATTGTTTTTACGGTAGTGGTAATGTATGAAGCTTCATCAATTATTTATGTGCCGACGCACATTAACGATTGATATGAGTACACCTTGGAGATTTAGAAAAAACGGATAAATTCCATCTGCTCTCCAACGGTATACGGTATACTCAACTTTCCGAATCTAGTTTAATTTCGAGGAGAGATTTGATGTAGATTGGGAGGTAAATTAATTTTATAAATCTACAATATTAGTTCATACCTAGCATTTGTTTTTGCCTTTAAATGCAGATACGTAAACTTTAAAAAAACAAAACAGAAAAGGCGTAATAAAAAGAAATTAAAGATATCAGGGTTATAAAGTAAATGAATAATGTTAATAGTTTAAGTGTATCCAATTAATCGCAATGGCATACTACAAGAATAACAACCTTTCTGCATTTCTCACGTTTATAATTTTCTCAAGGTTTATAATTTTCATAATTGTAGGAAGTGTAGTAAAACAATAATGTATAATAAACCCAGTGAGGAAAAAAAGAAGAAAAAAAGTGAATTAATACAATATCAAATAATAAAATCAAGTTTTAGTATTGATGCAACAGTACACAATTCAGAGCATCTGGAAAAATCAGTAATTCATATTTTTAGTCTTTTTTTCGGTTTAATTAGGTTAACTGTTTTCTCATTTTTATAGAACATTCAAACAAACGAAAAACCTAAAAAAAAATAAAACATAATTCTATATCTGAGATGGTCAATCATGTCCATTAAAATTTATGTTCTCAGGAATAGTACTATATTAGGGTATAATCTCAATTTCGTGAACGTATTACACTCAACAAGACTAGTGATGTTTGGGCTATTTTATTCAAGGACTTTAATATTAACTATTTTCAGAGAATCTTTCATGCCATATCACTTGTTTGCTCAAGTGTTTTCACATCTTCGACTATTTAGGATTTATCACGTTTTGTAGTTTCCTGAACCTAACAAAACAGTATTCGGAAAATATTTTTTTCTTGTTTTTTTTTCTTGTTTATCTGCACTGTGAGAAAAAAAAGAATGGTCAAATAGATAAAAAAATATTTTTCCTACTTAGAATGTATTCTTTGAAAGGAAATACATCTTATAGTTATTGAACAATAAAAGCTTTATTATTCAACTATATAATGACTGTCCAAGAAAGAAACGCCCATAATATCAATATATATTCAATAATAAATTTCAATCCATTGTAAAGATGCGATATTTTAAAATTTTAAAAATAGATTTTTCTCTATATAAATCTCAATATATATAACGACATATCGTTGTTAATAAACAACAATGAATTATCTACAATTTAACAACTAATTCGCAGAAAATATCCCTTCGTTAGGCAAAGAATAGCAGCCAAAGCAAACAACAATAATAATTAAAGCTTCAATCATCACAAAACTACAAACTAGTGAACGTTTCAAAATTTCCTTTTTTAAAAAAAATATTGTAATCGATTTTTCAAATATCACGATTCATAGAAGTAGTAAATAACATCAATGCAGAGTAAATTCCATCACTAGCGGATCCAGGATTTAATTTTGGGGGGCTTCAGCCTGAAACCTTTTTGTTTTCATAAAAATAACGATAATTACTTTGGAAAAACAGAAAGAAACTAACTACCTATATGAAATGGTGTTTAAGTTATTCCTTAAGTACTTTTAAATGTAATTACACGAAAAATAATACTTTAAGAGGTATTTTTAAAATTTTTTTCCCCATAAAACATGGTTATATTTTTCTATTTTGGGGGGGCTTCAGCCCGAAAGCCCCTCCCTCCCCCCGTAGATCCGCCAGTGAATTCCATAACATCGTTTAATTTTACTACGGATCAAGAAAGATTGAAGATTGATCAGCAGGTAAAGAATGCCAAATATTGGAAATATTATCATGGAAAATTGCCTAATGTTAAACATTTAAAATTAATGTCAGTACTGGATTTTCGGAATTTGACATAAATTTGACGTAATGCGCATAGAAAGGGAAGAAGAATGGTGTTTTTTTTTTTTTTTTTACATTAGTGGACTAATAATAAACAACAATTACTAATTTAAAATTACAGAAATTTTATTTGGATTTTGTTAAATTGAAAATGAGCAATGTAGCTCGAAAGGTTGTCATAACGTAAACAAAGAGTAACTTATAAGGGCTTATCGATCATTGATAACACTATCAATGATTACACTAAGTGTCGTTGAAAAACATACTACTGGAAGTAGCTAAATATGAATACAACGAAATTTATTATGTATTATGCTTGTCGTCTTAAGGTATTGCAAACGCAGCACGAAGAGTTGATATATTGTCAAAATGGGCTTTTAAACTGTTAATCTCGTGTGTAATGCGAACAACCGACTATTATACAATTTGGATTGATGTTGATATATTTAACATTGTTAAAGTATGAGTCGATTATTTAAACTAATAACATATTAAATCTTCAGGAATACCAGATCTTAATCTGCAATCTGTCGAACCGCTTCACATCCCCAAGATCGAGCTGTCAGAAGGAAACGGAAACTTTCAGATGAAACAGAAGTTGACCAATTTGTATATCCATGGTACCAGCAATTACACACTCGAAGATCTTAGGTAATTATATAATTAAGGTTTCGCCAATCGTGTTTGCGTCAATTTCCTAAGTTTTTCAAATAATATTTTCTAACAAGTGATTTTTGGATCTAACTAAAAGTGGTTATTGCCCAACATGCCAACGCCTGGAAGATCCAAGACACATTTCCGTCCAATGCAAGAGGTTCGATAAACAAAAGAGAATTAGTTTAGGGTCACAAGCTGTCGATGATGGTGTTAGTTATCTTAGATCAATCAATAAAGATAATGCTCGTAGATTAGGACAATTCTTAAAGGAGATAAATGCACCCATTGAAGTATCTTATGCTCTTTTGAGATTCATAAACTTATATGTAAGTTCAATAAAACTTCTGTAAGCCTATAAAACTATTAAATGATTATATTAGTTCCGGTTAAAAGTCCAAGTTAATATAGTCATTACGAAACTTAAAACTATTGCCATAGAATTTCATAATTTAATATAAACATTATAAATTTCACATAAAATATTTGCGTTTCGGAATCATAGAATTAAATAAGAATCAATCAATCGGAATCACAGAATTAATTAAGAGGCATATACTGGCTAAATAGGACTTGCTTCGACAAGTAATGAAGGCAAAAAAAAAATTAACAAATCGTGTTATCTTGTCTATTTATGTGATTTTATTTTATCAGTGGCTCTTGAACTCTTATCAAGTTTGAAGCTCAAGAGCTGTGTTACGCACGGTTAACATAAAATATATTCCTGGATATTGGTCAAAACGGTGTCTGTCATACTTTCAGGAAATCAATTTTTTTTTTCAAAGGCCTATTGACGAGATAATTCTGCGTTTTTTATTGCATATGGTAAATCTCGATTCAATATATTGAAGGACAAATGAGAGGATGAGGATTTTGAATATCATTCGTGGAGTGCGTTCGGCAATGATTTTTAGACGTGGTTCTGATTTTATCTTCTAAAAAAGGGTTTTGATTGCAGAGTATTATTACGGCTGAAGATCATTGGTCTGAAAGATTACTACAGATTACGGAGCATTATTCACTTCTAGGAACTTACATAATCGGTGTTTGATGGTCTTGAACACACATTTTCGTTTTATTTTAAACGTACTTTACTTTTCTTTTTTTTGTTTTAATACACTTCTAATACATAGTATTGGTGAAAAACGATAACTTAATATGAATCATAATATAGGTAAAATAAATTTTTATTAACTGTCATCTAAGTAAGAAAATTTTTCTAAGACATAAAATGACACGGACTTTCGTAAGTACAGTCAGTAACAGAATACAAAACGTTTACGCCAAATGGGGGTTGTTTACCTCCAAACAGGAAGTACAACTTGACAGGTTAATGATGTTGAAACAGCTGTTAGTGAAGTGTGTAATGAATAGAAGGGATAGGATCATTAAATAACTTGGCCCACTTTTCGATGATGAGAATGATGCAACAAAATGAAATGTAAGCACGGAAGGTAAGATGTCGTTCAAATTGTGTAGTAGTGCAATATCCCAGGGGTTTTCAATCCGGATGACTCGGAACCCAGAGGTGCCGCAAGGATATGCCAGCGGTGTTCCGGCAATAATATTTAATTTCCACATTTAAGGTAAAAAAAATAAGTATGTTTCTCTTAGATAGCTCATTTCACTACCGAAGTGTCACTTATAGAACAAGATTTTTTTTTTCATCGCAACATATGGGCCACGGGACTTGGATAGAGGGCTCAATACGCGGCACTTACAATTAGTCGAGATCTCAATGTAGCCTGCGGGCCAAAACGTAAAACGTTTGGAGATCCCTGGTCTATACTATATGTAATCTCTAAAACAAGAACTTAAGGTATTTAATACTGAGTAGACAGACATGGTATACCTAGTCCCGTATGATACCCTGGATAAATATATATTTATAAATAAATAGACTTTTCTCCCCTAAAAAAAAAAAATAATCAAACAATATTATTTTAACACAAAATGTATACTATTTTTTTTTTCATTGTTTCAAAGTTGTAAAATTATTTTATTTTTAAATATGGCCCTTGTAACGAATACCGTTTCCACCAGATCAGCAAGAAATTTATATTTTTTAGACCATTAGAATAAAGTCATTATTCAATTCTATCGTTTCGACTCAAGGGAATGGCGTAGCTACAAGGAGACTTGTTGGGTTGAAGCCCTCTAAAGTAAATTAATTGTTTGGCCTATATTTGTTTCATTCAGTGATCTCAACTAATTACTTAGACAATCAAAGTATGCTCTATTTTTAAATTACAGCTACTTCAGCTAATATATGTAAGCACGTGTCAAGAAAAATGTATAAAAAGTTTATTCCGAGAAGCATTACTGTTTCTGTAAACAGTTTTTTTTTTCTCTTTTTGTTAAGCTTTCAAGGACCACTTAAACATTATTTTACATACAAAGTTTATTTCTCTTTCTAACAAAATAATTACCGTAAATAAAAACCAAAAGGCCCTTTTTTTCATAATTAAATCCTGGATCCGCTACAGCCTCTAGGTACGCCATTGTAGACAAATCTACAAAAATATCTTAACGCCAGTTTGGTTTGGAACAGATATAGTATGTACGTTGATGAATATCACTAGCGGATCCAGGATTTAGTTTTGGAGCGGCTTCAGCCAGAAAGATTTTTTTTTTTAAATATATAACGATAATTAATTAGGAAGAAAAAGAAAGGAACTAACTACCTATATGAAATAGAGTTTACGTTATTCTTTAAGTACTATCAAATGTAATTACACGAAAAATAATACTTTTAGAGTTAATTATTAAATATTTTTTTCCTAAGACATGGTTATATTTTACCATTTTGAGGGGCTTCAGTCCGAAAGGCCTCCCTCTCCCCCCTCTAGTAGATCCGCCCATGATGAATATTAATCTATGATAATAAGGTACAATAAATCAATGAATTGTGTCACACATAGATATAAAAATGAGAGAATAATATGAGTCCAATTATTGTTTCAGTTGAACCTTTAGAGAAGTTGATTTATTTATGAAATAATGTTTTTTTTTTTCTCAGAAATTTTGGCATCATAGGCGCAGTCTTCTAGGGGAGGGGGATAAGAGAGGCGATTCCTCCCTCTCTCTCTTTCCCTCTCCTCCTCCCCTCCCCCCTCCGTCCGATTGTCCCAAGGAGAAATATAAAATCAATGACAATCAATTTTCATGAATGAATAAAATATATAAACTTTTTTTTTTTTTATTTAGAAAAAAAAATTAAGGGCATTGAGTATTTATGATGAATGAAGTACAATCATACCATATATACAATAAAAGAACAACAAGATTATAAGAAGATAAAATAAAATAAAACTTGGAGTAACAGAATAAATCAAACTGATATAACATTAAATAAAAACTAAAATAAAATAAAAAAAATAAATAAAAACACATTCAAACTTATTTACAATATTGCCGAGGGAGCTCCGAGTCGGGCCTTTTTCTCCACGTGTGGAGGACAAGGCAAGACTCCAAGAGATCCCAGCGCTTTCCTATCAGCCGCATCACTAGGATGGGAATCCAGTGGGGACTGAGAGAGGGCACTAAAGCTACATATGCTCATGAATATATAAACTAAAATCAATGTAGGGAACGTCGACTGGATGGCTAGCCTTAGGATTAGAAGTGCATTTACATGTATTTAATATCGCATTATGTTCCTATTATTGAAATTTTAGTTTGTATTTAAAGAAAATTATGTGTAGCGGCATATACTAGGATTTTATGGTTGATTCATGTGCACACTTTCATTTTTACGTGAAGATTTTATCGCACTTCCCACGCAAAATATGAAGTTCATTTCATATTGGCTCTAACATTTAAATAAAAACATATATAATAAATTTAAATACTTTGTTAATATAATTTCAAATATATGAAAACAAAACCAATATATATATATAAAAATGTATTTTTGTATATATTATTATGTTGTTCGATTTATAATAATTAACTTGATTATGTTAATTATCACAGTTATCATAGTTTTTATACATAATGTAACTCCTGAGATATTTTTTGGAGGGAGGCGGGTACATCGCCCCTCCCCTTCAATCTTTATGGAAAGACTATGCTGGGCATTATTTATTTTTTTTTTAGAACGATTTAATTAACTTTATATAGGACATGAACGCATTAGCTATCAGAAAGGGCAGATTAGAGTTATTATCAAATTAAAGAAGGAAATAGGAACTGGTTTTGAATAACTAATTACATATCCTTGGATTCTTTCATCGACTCGCGTGTTGGTCAAGGCTGTAAGACGAGCCTCATCTCGTTTCCTTTTATTTTAGGAACTATGATCTGTAACTTGTTGCCGTAAAACTTAAAAGTTACTGTTCCAAGAGCGATTGCAACAACACATTAGTCACTTAATCTTCCACTCGTGTCTTATCTGTACTTGCTAGTGAGTGTATCACTATAATTTTAAAAAGTAAGCAAAATAGAGTAAATATTATATAATACATATAGTTCATAGCAGCAACACTTATAACTGACACGTATTAAACATAATTCCAGCTGAACAACTAGAACAATCTGAAATAATAATTTTCATTGCAGACTCTTTTATTTATTTTTTTTTTTTGTGGGCACTATAATTGTTTCAGGCAATTTTTATGAGCTATCTACAGCAATATTATTTACAATAATCGACTTTGTTGTTTGGCAATAAAAACTTCCAAGTATAAAACGATTAGTTTATTTGTAAAAATTCATGTCATGTTGACGTTTCAGGAAATTATCCCCATCAATAAAAAAATTTATTCCTATTCTTTCATAGCAATTAATGGCTAGAAAAGAGTTAATTAAAAAATAATGCATGTTACAATGCATGCCAATGTAATTTTGTTACATAATTGTCTATAATTGCCTCGTGTGCTCCTTTGTCATAATATAAAGTATTTGTGTTATATTTAAAATAATAAAAATATACTATCTGGCACATTGGTATTGATATTAAATGACTGTTGGTTACATAGCAGCATTCTATTTTTACTATATTTTAATTTTGTTTAAAATTTATAGCCATTAATTGCTATGAAATAATGGAAATAAAATTATGAAGATGGGAATAATTTCCCAAAACGTCAATTGTCATGAATTTTAGCAGATAAACTAATTATTTTATACTTGCAAAAGAAGAATACAATAATTAAATTGACTATGTTAATTATCACGTATAGTTTTTATACATAATATAAACTCCTGAGCCTTTAATAAATAAGTAATGTAATAAATAATAATAATAATTTAAGAAACAAGATCTGTAAGCAACGGTCAGAAATATAACAGCGTATAACTAGAGCGAATAGAGGTTTCTTCTCCCTTTCAAAGGTATTGAAATCTCAAATTAAGGATGTGCAATGCTATGATAAAGCTAGTACCGATAAATGGCTGTGAGACCAGGACACTAACCTGCACCCTAGAAAAAAAAAGAGAAAAATCCTCCGCATGTTAACCGGAACGATCTGGGATCACAGTATTAACACATGGAGAAGAAAGACCAATAAAGAACTGCTTATAGAAACTGGTCAATCAATATCCCATGATATGAAGGCACGGAGGTTAAGATGGGCAGAGCATGTAGCTAGTAGCAATCCATCTGGAAGTCTCTTCGTAACAATGAATGCCTCGATAGAAGGCAAAAGACCATGTAGAAGGCCAAAAAACAGATGGATAGATATAATCAACAAAGATGCAATAGATCTGCGTGTAAATAATGTTGAGAAAAAGCACAAGATAGGCGGAATAGGCTTCTTAAGACGGCAAAATATCTACGAGGTCTCTAAAGCCAACAGAAATAAAAACATTTAAGGTAACTACGGACTAGAATATCTATATAAATTTAATCTATTCCTATTCAATGTTTTAATCTCTTTCTTCTTTACTCACAGTGTACCTATAATTCACTAAATCAAGCTTTCAACAGATGTGCAAACATATATTGTTAGTGATATTAGTAAGCAGTGTTTACTTTCTACATTTATTTAGTTTCCTTGTATTCTCTTGGTTATTTTCAGCGTCTGCATTTTATGATGTGCAGTACTACTAAAAGTATTGTTCCTATCTTTCACAATTATTTATTTATTTTAATTTATTAAGTAATTCAAATAATTAAGGGTCCGTTATTAGGTTATCGGAGGCGAAGTTTCCGAAATTATTATCGATTTTAAAATAGCACAACTGTGCAACGATTTATTTCAACTTTTCAGAATTCTTAGCTGTATGGGTCTAATATTACTTTATCGATATAATAATATAATACCAAGTCTATATTCATTTAAATAAAACTACGCATCCAATAGCCTAATAAAGCGCAGTAGTGAAAAATCAAATGTGTGATTTCGAAACTAAAATAATCGTATCTGTAAAAGATGTTGATTAATTTCAATTCTGATGTAATCATGTTATCATGTTCAAAAAATGCCACTATTAGAGGTTTTTTGAAACCCTAATGCAACACCATGATACTCCAATAAATTAAAACTTAAGTGTAGGCAATAAATAATAAATTGAACAACAATACTATTTGTTTAATTAACATATTAATGATAAAATGGTGAGAAATTTTATTTATTTAAATTTAAATACTTCTTGTATATAGTTACTGTTTGAATTAATCAATTAAATGCTCAATGAAAAGGTTATAAAAACATAGTTGACGATCTTGACCATGTAACATTTTATAATTCCTTGGTAGCGAACTTGAATTCCGAGGATCAAGGAAAGTCTAACCATTCTGGACGAGAATTCTTCCCCGCGTGCCTTCACACCCTTTGAGCAAGTGGACTGATTTATTTTCAAAGCTAAGTCAAGATCGGGAACTGGAAAACCTTGTAAGAGTTTTTCAAGCGAGAGGTCTGAAGGCTATAATAACTAGCTTCCTGTATTATACATTCTATTTTTTGTTTAAACTTTGATTAAGGTTATTGTATTAATAGTGATTGTATTAAGGTGAAAAAAGTATTGTTACACCTTGCTCAAGATCGAGCCACGACACGAGAGATTTAAACTCTCACACCGAATGTAATCTTATAAATTACAGGAAAAAAATATTAATCTTAGAGTCATATTTACAACAAGATATGTAAGTTACACCACACGATTTCTCATGAGAATTATAATTTATAGTGTTGATTTTTCTGTCCATTGGACGACTCAAATAACCAAATCTCGCAAAATAGACACTGTACATGTGAGCAAATAGCTCAAACATAAAAATTTGTACGAAACTTCAATTTTGTATTTAAGGTATTTATCTAGGGTGTAGTGCAGTTTTTCGCTGAAATTGACTTACCGACAGTGTCACTGTATCTTTGACCTTGCAATTTTTAAAGTTTCTCGAAAACGGCTGTAATGTTTTTATTAATTTAGATACATCAAGGTAGATATTTACCTATAAATTGTGTATACTAACAGCTAGATTATATTCTCATTGAACTATCCAGACAGAACTTGATTAATTAATTTAAAATAAAAAAGTGTATGTATTAATTAATTAATTTATGTATATATACATACTGTATTTATTCAAGAAATTCCTGGAGGGTAGGAAAAAAAAAAAGAAAAAAAAAAAAAAAAAGTGTATGTATTGATTGAACAACTTGAATTTACAGAAATAATAAAACTATAATCTTTTCTGTAAATACGATTAATTACTATTAATATATTTTTCACTATTCATTTTTTACCCTTACATCATATCTTACATACATTTCCTCCATTGTTATATTTTTTCCTTAAATGAAAATACTTTTTTAATTTACAGCATCAATGTTGACGGAAGAGAGATGAATTATACCATGACCTTTCCCTTGTTGGAGTTCGAAAGCGATTACGAACTTGATGGCCAGATATTGGTATTGCCAATAAAAGGTGAAGGAAGGGCAAACTATAATTTCAGTAAGAATATTTTGTTTGTCAATAATTTAAGAAAATGTTCCGATGGTAAGAGTGATTTTTGAAATTAAACCACAGACGTCCCGGTCCCCATTGTAGCACTACTTCAGGACTGTGAAGGATAAATGTCCAAATAAGGATGAAAATCATAGAAGTATCTAAAATGAAAGTAATGAAATGGGAGAATAATATTATAAAGTATCAATCATATCACGATAATGCATTATATTTTTTTTTAAACTTGTTTGAGTTAATTTTAACATCCACCCTCTCCATCATTATTTCACTCAACTATTCAATTTATACAATAATTATTCAATATGTGTATATATATATATATACTAATTGAGGTATGATTTTATGATAAACAATTATTTTGCATATACATGTTTTCACAGTCAATATCTGTTTTAGCCGACGTGACAATCAGAGCTTTCACAAAAATAGAAACATTCAAGAAGAAAGGTAAAGTTTATGTCCGCATCAAGAGTTACAGTCTCAAAATAGAACCTACAGATGTGCACTTGCATTTTTCGAATCTATTCAACGGAGACAAAGTCTTAGGTAACTATGGCTAGCAAGATTGTGTCTTAAGCATTTTTTATCTATACTATGTACCTAATTTGTAAATTATTTTATTAACAGGTGATTCCACGAATAAATTCCTCAATGACAACTGGAGAGATGCTTACAACACATACAGAGATTTGCCGGAAAATGCTTTCGCTCAGTATTTGAAAGTCATCACTAATAACGTGTTCGAAAAGTTTCCGGCTGAAGAAATCTTTCCGAAATAGTACCTTTAAGATCCTTTAAGTATTAATAACTAATACGTTACTCCAAGTAACACTTTCACAAGACTGAAGTAATATTATCAATTATATTTAATGCAAGAGTAGAGTATATGGTTGAACGTTTAATTTGCCTTAAAATATGACGTGGTTTCACGTCAAGATCTGTTAAACAAGCAAATTGATGTATAATAAATTTATTCTTAGAACATTTACAAAACTATTGTTTTATAGAGTTATTTAGACGAGGTTAATAAGTTTATATGTACTTCTAAGGCAAGGGAATGATATATAATTTATTCAATTATAGTATTAAAGCTAATATTTTTATTACGCCTCTTATTTTCAAGTAATCAAAATACGATGTGTGTTAAGATAATAAATGAGATTTTTTGTGGTTTAATTTTATATTGATGAAGTGTATAATTTCGAGTTTATTACTATTTACTTAGCACGTAAAAACACATTTTTTCGTGTCACGATACCATAATGTATTAGTAGAGACAAAGCATACCCCAATAGGCCCCGCATACTCATTCATGCACCTATAATAATTTTCATTGATAGACACAAATATTCTTGGTCTTGCAAACTCAGTCTTGCTTTTTCGCAAGAGTCTCGCAGTTACCTTTATCACTATAGATATATTACTGTATTTTTTTAGATAGGAGAAACCAAACTAAGCTCGAATGAAAAATTAGAAGAGTTAAATGCAAACGTATATTGGTTATATAAATTTTTTACACATAGTAACTAAAATTGTCAAGAATTACTAAATATTTTGCCTTAATTTTCATTTAAAAAATCGGTTTTTTTTTGTACCAGTCTTGGTATTGGTCTTGCAATAGTTAGGCGGTCTTGGGCAACACTATATTCAAGTACAAACGGAAAAATTACGTTGATTACTTTGTGACACGATGTTTGTAAATCATTCATTTGCAATTCATAATTTAGTATTCAAAATATTATTATTGATTGTGCCTTGCTGCATGATGAATAAAATGTCCTATCATGTGAACCAGAAAATGAAGCTTTATTTTTTAAGTATTAATTATTTTAGGGGTTAAAGTTTAAAATTGTACCATGACTTACCTATAAAAAACCAAAGGTTATCACTTTCTGCGTCACATTTCATTTGAGGCAGTTCCTGTTATTTATTTTTATATTTTACAAAGTTGTCATTTTCAATATGAATATAAACAATATTTCTGATTTGTATAAAGTTCCATGTAATGCATATTGTTTCTTGAAATGTTTTATAATCCTCTTTATTTTGTTGTTTTTTTTTTAATTTGTTAATAATATATTGCTAAAATCATTTTTGTATGATTTAAAAAAACGTTTCCTCAATACATTTATTTAATAATTCTATTATTTATAAAATATTTTGTACTAATATAATGTTTACTTATTACTTGGTAGTAGTTTCGTAGAACACTATATTGTTCCCTTAACAAATTATTAGCTTTGTAAATAGAATCGTCAAGTGGGAACTAAGTCCAAAAGGAAGTGGTTTTTTTAATTTGATAATCTTATCACTTGGACCGAGGCTTATCTATGAGTGATGGAAAGAACTAGGCTTTTATAACTGCAATGTATATAATGGGAATATAAATATTTTTTCAAGTTGATCTTACAGTATTTATGTATTTTTGTTGTACCACAACATTAATTATAATCAATTATAAAAACAATCCTGATGAATAAGTAACTGATTCCAGTAGTTACATAAGGAAGTTTTTATATGATTCAGCCGCTAGTAGAAAATATCAGTTATAATATGAGCCTTTCAGTTGACAAAATGACTAACTCCGATTTCCAAATTTTTAGATAGTCATTTTAGTGATATTTTTGTTCGAAAAATTTATAATAACTGTGGTTGCAGTGTAGAAATATAAAACCGTGAAAAAAGGTATAAATTTTTCCACTAGCAATATCACTAAAATTAATAATGTTGAAATTGGAGTTAGTCGTTATGTCGATTGAAAGGCTCATATAATGGAAACTTTACTATATGGAGGAATGGAAGAAAAAGTTGATTTTGAGATGATTTATTGAAAAAAAAAGAGTACATATTTCAATTATGAATTTATTAACTTAGGTAGAACTTAAAAACAAAAATTCATATTTCACTTTACAATAGTGTTTTTTTTATTCTAATTAATATTATAGCTTAAAACAGCATTGAAATATCCTAGTGATTTTCATAATTTATGAGGTGGACTCGGATTAATGTTTAAAAGATTTTAGAATGTACAATTGAATTTATAATTACTAAAATATATTTCATTAATAATAAAACGAATAATTTACTTAAAATAAAAAACGACATTATGGTATATATCTTTTTTTTTTAATTCTTAAATTTAACTATTTATTTAATTAATTGAAGAGCTTTATTAGAAATAAAGGTGGCGTTGCTGAACATTCGCATTAACTAAAGGTATTTATTAATAAAATTATTCTAGTTCATCATGGCAAGTAGTACAATCGGCTTGATAAATTAAAGGAATTGCGCAAATATCACAAGTTTAAATTTCGACTCCTTATGTATCTGGTAGCCTTAGTTCAATGACCATAGGTCAAAGATCTAGAGCTTGAAATCGTTTTTAAAAGTCTAAAAAATTAAATACAACTAAGTTATTTTTTTATTTTTTTGTTAATGGTCGATATTCTTTAGCATGCACTATAATCTTCATGAAAAAGGATTAGCCCATAACTGAGAGAGATTCTTTATTTTCCTTTCTTCCATCCTTTCTTTTTCTTCCTTCTCCCTTTGCACCTTCCTTCTCTGTCCAATTCTTCTGGTGAATCGTCATCGACGTCGTCTGTAAAGCCAACCGGCTCTTCAGTTAGATCTGTAATCCATTGAGAATGGTCCACTAAGGCATTTGGTTTACTATCTGCAGCGTTAACAGTCTAAAAAAACAAAGAAAGCAATTAGTGAATTATTTTTTAAAATAATGTGTATTTAGATTTGAGGAACTTCATGTATAATTACTAGGAGTCAGATAACATTAAATATATTAATACAGCAACACATTACATTACATTATTCATTCATAATATACGGTATTGCAAATTGTATTTAACCTGACAGACAATCTAGAACGGATATAATTCACCATACTTCAATAGCCTGAGAAGAACTGACGAAATAAAGAAGGCATATAACTCCAAAATAGTTAAACATAAAATAAAAATACGTAAAATTTTAATACGGAGTAACTTGGCTACGTTTTAGAATATTTCAATAATACTCAATTAGTGATCAAAATAAATATTTTTAACATAAATAGTTACTTAGTCAGGGCTGAGATCTAATTCATAAGTTAAAAAAATATTTAATTTACTTGCGATGCCGCTGTATAAGTAACTTGGGCTGTCACACGTTGGTCTATTTCGCATGAAGATTTATGTTGTAGAAGAGCAAAAAAACGTTGATATATTTTCGTAAGGACGGAATGGAAAACAAGCCAGGAAGGAAATGACGGAAACGTTCAAGAAGAAAAATATGCAATATCAAGACTTTGTACGTGGTTATTTTCCACCATAAATTCGTCAATCCAGGTCAGGAGGCTGCTTAGATTATCGGTCAAACTCATGGGCTACGGGTTCCACCGACTTTGGCCCACGATGTGCCATGAATCTTCCATTACAATGTCTCACCACACACTTCGCTAGTTAAAAATGAGGTTTTCAGATCAAATTCGATAATGTTGATGGAACATCGAGAAACTAGATGTGATCCACACAGGAGAGGGACAATTGGCGGAAGCTACTGGAGGAGGCCAGGACTCCGGGAGATCGGGTTGTACAGCTAAGAATATATTTTGTGACTTTTTGCAATTAACCGACGATACAATTTATCGAGAAAACAAATTTTTTAATACCTTGTCATAGTTAGTTGACTCTCAAGACCTTTTTATACTAACACTTAACAATTTGACATGTTGGTTTATTACTATGAAAAATCAGTTCCAATAAGATAAAAGAACACTTAAATTTATAATGTTTTATGATAACTATAATTAATAAGTATTTTACATCTAATTACCAATGCTGCAGCGAGAGAAATGACAGCTAACAACACAACTAGCGTTAGACGCATTTTTCCATTGGAAGCAAACTGCGGATCTTGTCGCACTAGGCCTGCTTTAAATATGTCAATTGAGAAACCATGTTTGAACAGCACGCACTTGTGCAGGTGTTTTAAGACAACAAATTTGTCACATATCCTCGAGCTTGTACATTTGTTTGTTAATCATTGAAATGTTTGCCTTTGATGTCTTTCCTGCTCGCTCCGGTTTGATACTTTCAGTCGATAAATATATACATTTTCCAGCTATTGATGACCGAGCTGAGCAAGGGTGAAGGAGAAATGAGTGAAATAGAAATAAAATTAAAGAATAGTGGAGTGGGGACGACTTTGAATTTACAGGTAAGTTATACGTTATGACCAGGGCCCGGATTTTTATGCAGTAAAACCCCTCAAAATATGATATATAATATGCAATAAAACCGTCAAAATGTAGTAACATATGCATTTAAAAAAAAGCGATAAAAAAATATCTAAAGATGCATTTCTTCTTCTTCTTCATGGGCGTTAAAACTCATCGCTGAGTCTAGGAAATAGTGTTGTTCAAATGCGAGACCAAGACGAGTCTTGGTCTTGCACACTCAGTCTTGGTTCTGGTCTTGCCCGGTCTTTCACCAGAGTCTCGCAACAGTCTTACAGTTGCCTATTAGCCTATGACCATAGAGATATTACTGTAATTTTTCAGATTGCGGAAACTTAACTAAACCCGAATGAAAAATTGGAAGAGTTAAATGCAAAAATATATTGGTCATACCAATTCTTTGCTTTACCAATTTTTATTCACAAAAACGATTTTTTTTACCAGTCTTAGTCTTGGTATTGGTATTGGCAACAGTCAGGCGGTCCTAGTCTTGGTCTTGCAAAGTGCAAGACCAAGACCGATTTCGAGCAACACTACTTGGCATCCTCAATCAGCCCCGCCCATTGGTCTCTCTCTCTCTCTCTCTCTCTCTCTCTCTCTCTCTCTCTCTCTCTCTCTCTCTCTTGCAGCTGTCCTCCAGTTAGCTAGTCCAAGAAGAGCTCTAGAAGACACGTCAACATAATTTTGCTGGTTCGGCTACTCCCATCCATTCTGGATACATGACTCGCCCATTTTAAAGGCTGTATTCTAATGAACCGGAATATATCCGTGTCATTATGTATGGCGGTCAGTTCAGCATTACTCCGCCTTCTCCAATCGTTACCTGAGCGTACTGGTCCGTAAATGCGACGTAGTTCTTTTTTTTTTCAAAGATCAACAGCTTTCTTTCATTTGTTTTGGAGAAGCTCCACGTTGGCGCTCCATATGTAAGGACCGGAGGAATTAGCGTATTTTACAAAGTTTTCCTTCCTTACTTTTGTTTTCCTGTAGATTAAGCGATTACTTAGATACTACCGCAGGTCAAAATAACATTTGTTTGCAGCCAGAATCCTCTTATATATTTCTTCTGACACATCGTTGTCGGCATTTGCTTGGGACCCCCCCGATATAGAAATCGTTGGACCGCAATATGCATTTCTAAAAATAAAACGTCTAAAATATTAAATTATTCTATTATGCTTACAATAAGTTTTGAAATAAAATTAATATGAAGTATTAAAATTTTTAGGAAATTCTTTAAAAAATTAAATTACATTGCCATTATTAGTGCAAAAGAAACAATAAATCAATCAAGATTTTCAAAAAGGTCCATTTTAAAATATGTGAGTCAGGGTGGATATACTTTTGAGCATCATAATAAATAAAAAATATATATATTTTTTTATTATAGTTATTTAATTCATTTTTTTCAAAATACTCCCTTTGGTGGAACCTCCTTGTTAAGGGGGAAATTGCCCTTCTCCCTCCCCCTGTTAGGTACGCCACTGGCTCCGGTCCTATCGAGCGTAACTTGAGATCAGTGAGTTCAAAGCAACTAATATTACTGCTTCATATCATATCAGTAATAAAAATATTGAATTATTAAGAACGATCCATGACAAGATAATAATATACAAATTTTGAAAATTTGTTACTACGAAACAATAACGTAAACCACTGAGAATAATTATGAACAGCAAAACCATCTCCCATCCACACGTACTGCGAGCAATTAAGCACGAAACATTATTATTGCTTCTTTGCCATTACAAACCCAAGATTATTACGTGATCCTAGAACCATTTCTAAATTCTTATCATATTTTGTTACAATAACAATATTTTTTGTAAGTTGGAGATGAGAAGGTCCAGTCTACTTTCAGATGTGGTCGAGTTGTCTCTATGTCTCTGCATTTCTACTGGTGGCAGTATATGCGAATCCGCGGAAAAAAGGTAACCATAAAACATGAAATAAAACAAATTAAATATTTTTTAAGATGATTTCATTGAAAACATGTAGCATAGACCATCTTTTCAAACATACAAGTTGTCATGTAACAAATCATCGGAAATTTTGTATACATGTATTGGTGTAAATACATGTAAGGCCCGGTCTAACTAGATTGGCGATCGCTAAGGGCCCTGGGAACAGGGGGGCTCCGAAATCTAAGTTTTATACTTTTCTAGTATCGTGGTATTTATAGTCACCAAAAAAAATATTTTCTATTTTTTTTTTCAACACAGAATGAGCGGCATGATTTATTTCCGCACATTTTTGGGGTTCCAAACATAATTTTTTTGTACTTTTTGATCTCCGTAGAATAATTGGAGGCTCCCTCTATGAGACCCAAAGATCGTTATTTTGTACTTATTAAACAGTATTATATTTTATCCCAAAAATAATTGTTTTTATTAGTTTACTTTCCCAAATTTTCGGATCCCCTCCGATGGGTCCCCAACATAAATATATTGTACTTTTTCATCTTCGAAGAATGATTGGGGGCTCCTGGTGAGGACCACGAAGACCATTGCTTTGTATTTATCTAGTACCGTTAAACGTTTGACCCCCAAAACAATGTTTTTTATTGGTTTATTTCCACAAGCCCGGGGTCTCCTGGGAACCCTCCAGTGGGCCCCAAACATTAATGTTTTGTACTTTTTTTTGTCACTGGGATGAGGTTCTCCACCTGAGGTATCTGAAGATAATCTGATAAATATTCTGTATTTATCTTGTATAGTGTTGTGTTTGGCCCTCAAAATAATTGTTTTGTATTAGTTTTGTGTTACGTTTATTTCTAAAATTATCCGCTTTCCAACGATATATTATACGTATACCTTCTGACTAGCATTTTCGGAAATTCATTTTCGACCTCAATACACATTTCCCTTTTTTCTCCATTTTTTTATAATCAAATTATATCAAATTATCTTTCAAAAGTTATATTTAACACTCTTTCGTAACTCTTAATAATGAGAGATTTTTAATTATTAATAATAAAGGTACTTTAGAGGAAGACATGTTAAATATTCAAGCCCTGTAAAGTGAAATCAATGGGGATAAGACCTAAATGATATTAAAGAACACTTAATTATACAATGATACACCAACTTTAATCAAAATCGTTGGAGCCATTTTTGAGAAAATTATGTATAAAATGTGTATAACCTTTGATATAAAGTGCCACTTCCGGTTAGCCGACTTTAAGGGAAAAGTTGCTGTCACATCTAAGGCATATACCTATCTTAAAAACATAATATCAGTTTCGTACGACTTTTCATTTTTTAGCTAAACTGCTAACATTTACACACAGAGACCATTTCTCGGGACTTCATTAATTATTTATTTTGCATTCTTGCCCATAACTCTAATTTAACAAAATAAACACTCGTAATTTATAGTGTTTTCTTTACGTTTATTTGGACATTTCGTGTATATACCCCCTCTTCAACATACGATTTTTCCCATTATCGGGTTTGTCCAAAGAAAAGCTTGGTAAGCAGCTGTTGTGTAGGTAGCTAGTTGTTATATTGTGGTAATATGCAATCATCATATACATGTTATGTTAATGTAAATGATATATTAACATTCGAGTCTCATATTTATGAATATTAAATATGATTAAATATGCATATAGTCTGGTAAAATAGGCTTTGATATATGCTACGATGTAGTCACTAAATGACAAAGAAAAACAAACAATAATAAAAACCATAACAAATAATTAATTTTGTCGGCGTATGCATGCATATAAATTTTATTTTATTATTTTATTTTTATTTTTGTTGTACTTGTCTAAAAGAAAGGTATAGATATATTTCTTCTCAGGCAAGGAATCGGAAAAAAATTGGATTGTTTGTTGCTCATGTTTATTGTACTCTTTCACTCATTATGAATGAATTAATTTCCAACAAAAAAATAAGAATTGCGTAAAAAAAAATAATAATAATTAAATCAGTTAATAAGTTTTTTTTTCACGTGATGGTAGAAAAATATCAGGATTTATTCATTTGTAATTCATAACAAAATATAAATCAAGTGCAAATTTAAATCGCTTCAATAGAAGATTATTATTTATTAACAATGTAAAATGATCTCTATTATTGATAAATTTATTATATGTTTTTTGTTTCAGCTTCCGATTACTTCGCCATTTGTCACACATCAGATTCTGATTTCAATGATTGTGTCAATAATACATTAACAACATTAAGAGGAGAATTCATTAAAGGTAAAAACAAATATTTGTGTTCATTATTTTTAATGTATTAAAATATATTTAATTTTGATAAAAAAAAAAAACCCTGTAATAGTTTTCTATTTATAAACGAACAATCCATATATTTAGGATGGTGTTGAAGGTACAAAATTAAATAATTCCTAACGCATTCAATGATTTATTCATTTTCCATTGTAGGAACCGAAAACCACGACTGTGAAACTATGAAAATATAATTAGAAAAAGCGTGAAAGGGGTACCGAGAGAGCACTCACCACACAAAACTGAAATTAGCCGTATCCTTTCAATCCAAATCTACAGAAAATTCCAATTTTTCACTGATACGGGAACATAAAACTGACATGTTTAAGTGAACCCTTAATCATGAGGAAATACTCCACTGTCCAACTGTCAGAACCACGGCGGAAGGATAGCTTTTAGGCGCCCGGGAAGAAATTTGACCTAGCGCTCCCTTCAAACCCACTCACTTCTAATTGGCGAATAGTCTTATTTTTCTTAGGTTTATGAGGTGTGTAGCTATTATACTAAGGGGCACCTTTGCATTTCCACCAACCATCCATCGCCCATTTTCGGATCTCCATGTAATATTTCCAACAGAAAATAGAGTTGAAGATAGAAATAATAAAAAAAATCACATAAGCACTCCGAGGCATAAGGGACCCTCCATTCTCCTGGCTTGATTTTTTTTTTCTAGATGTAATTCTGAGTGATCACATATAACAAATGGCAATAAATATGTACTGTGAAGAAGAGAAAAGAAAGAATTGTAGATTTTAAGACACATTAAGCATCGAAAATGTCTGAGAAGTATAGTAACATAAGCAGGATATTCTGCTACTGGTTGTGATGCACTATAAATGAGTCAGATTGTAACCTTCAGCGTGGTCAACATAAAAAATAAGGGAAACCAGCATTTCCCAAACTTCCTTAAGCAATGGATCCAGTTAATTCTCAGAGCAGTTAATTCACAGCTTTTGGTAAATTGAGTTGAACAATTGGACCCTGAATACAACGAGTGGTGATCAGCTTCGCTATAGTAGCGATTAATGAATAAAGAAATGAAAAAAAAAAAATTCTTCTGCACGAAATTTCTGCACCAATAAGGTGCCTCATTCCAAATTTCGTTCCGGATTCAGTACTTCTTGATAAACCACTAATCAAGGTCTCGCAGAGGTGAAAAAGAATGAACCAAAAAGTGGAATGTTGATAGGCGCCTCCTGGGCCGCTATGCCCGAGAGTGTCCACCCCGGATGCCCCACGCAATGGCAACCATTAATTAATTTAGAAAAACTGTTCAATCTCAATTACAAATAATTTGATAAATAGATTGATATGGTCAGATTGTCCAAAGATTATCTCTGGGAGGAATTTGACAATCGTATGATAAGAAGAATGTTCTTTCCTGTACTGGTAGATAAGAATAATTATATAGATGATACGTAAAGAAATCATGAAGATTTGTCGGTAACATGGCTAGAAAACTTGTACAAGTACATGTAAAATCCGTACATGTTTTTCTGGTTGATAAATAGATATTCTGTAGATATTCAAGTATTGAATACCTTCAGTGCTCGAAACACGCCCTGATGTTGACACATATGTTTGGGTTGAAACGTCGGCACTAATAAAAACGTTATAATGATTGCGTCCTGAACATTTATCACCCACGATATGTAGAACAGTCGACTAACTTCCTTCAATGATTCATTAACTATTTTGCTTTATCTTCAAATGTTAATCATTTTGTTTGTCCCAAACCCACACGAAAAATAATTTTTTTTAGTAAAGTATGGTAGAAACGTGGAATCTCTTCACACTAATATATTCACCTAAATAAATCATTACTTCTCCTTATTCATCATTAAATGTTTCATATTCCTGCTTATTTTATATTGTCTTTGCCAGAAGCTTATAAATATTATCATAAATTAATTTATAGAAAGTATGGTCTGAACAAAAAACTGATAACCCAAATTACTGTTGTCCTATTTGTTTAGGGATACCCTCATTGAATCTGCTACCATTAGAACCTCTCAAAATAGAAAAAATGGAGCTAAGGCAAGGAACCGGAGAAAAATTTCAGATGTATCAGAAATTAACAAATATTAATATTCACGGTATAGGTAACTACACAATAGAACATTGCAAGTAAGGTCTTGTTTTTCTTATCTTCAATAAGCTTAAATGAATTTAGATTACTGAATTTTGATTATTATTTTGTTCTATTTATTTTATTTTTTTGTACATATAGTGTGAATGTCATCCTACCTCACTATAACCAATGCCCAAGGGACAGATTGTTATAATACTCAATAAAGAAATAAAAATTAAAAAGATTACTGAAAATTAACATTTTTCATTGGATATTTACAACCGTATTTTTCACCGTTCAATTAATAAATGTGCAATACAGCTACAACTACTATTGATAAAACAATAACTGTGTCCTCGTTCCATATTCTTTCTAAAAGGATTCGGATTATGTTTGGGGAAAAATTGTGAAAACAAAAACAGTCGTTAATGTGCGTACTGAGTTTTTAATTAATGAGTGTAAAGAATTTTCATTTAATAAGGATTAAATTTGTTTCGAGCCGAATCTACAATATATGAGTTATCAAAATTGTAAATAGTTTTATAAGTAGCTTTCAGAATTTTACAAAGATTATAAATATCTTGAATTACGAATAGGGAAGGACTTCGATGATTTTATGGAGATTTAAAAGTTCATTTAAATATAAATGAGATTTCCAAACAGCTTTGATTATCGCAATGCATCTGGCCTATGTTAATCAAGAAAAATCCACTCAAGATCTTGAAACCTCTTTATTGTAAAATATTACGAAATAAAAAGTAGCTAAGGCCCAATGATCTCCTATTTAAAACAATCATTTGTTAAAATTATATTCATGTTTGAACAGAATTAAGGTAATTTTCAAAAATTTGGAGAGACAAGCTACGTGTAGGTGGGTTTGTGAGGGTTTGTAGTAGGTAATTAATGGTAGAAGGTAAAATCGACGAGTTAAGGATAAAATCGACGAATGGCTTTGCATTTGATGATAAAGAGGAATGCACTACAAATAATATTACATTTAATATTAGTTTTATTTAGATGGTTTATTATATATTAATTATTTCCCATGATAAAAAAAAATAATTTACATTAATAAATACATTTTAATAACGTTCCATGATTAAAATGATTTGTTAGAACTATGAGTTCGTGAAAAGAAATAAAGACAAAATTTAAGCAAAAATATTCATCCACTTAAACTTTAAAAAAAAATGTATAACATCTTGCTTATAATCTGTTTTAAAAAACTAAATTAAAAACACGCGCTAAAGCTGAATGAAATTTATATTGATTAAATTGTTGCTCGTTTTCACTATGCTAAAAAGTTTAATAATTAATTTCCAGCTTTGATTATAAGAAAAAACAATGGAATCATACTCAATCATATCCATATATAAAGCTAGAAGGAGATTACGAGATGGATGGAAAGATGCTTATCTTACCTATCAAAGGAAATGGAAAAATTAGATTTTTATGCAGTAAGGAAGAATATATATAATTTTAAAATTTTAATTTTATTCTTATTTTTTATACGTACATTGATGTTCGAACAGCCAACGTGACAACTTTCAGTGAAGTCTGTTTTGAAACGTTTGAGAGAAACAAAGAAATATATACGAGAATTAAAGATTATAAGTTACGAATAGAAACAAAACACGCTGAAGTACATTTAACAAATATGTTCAACGGAGATAGAAGATTGAGTAAGTAAATTAATTATACATTTTTAAAAAATATTTAATATATTGATCTATATTTTAACAACAAAAACTTAACAATGTCTCGGTAGAACAATAATAACGTATAAACTTTATTTATTGTATACTGTTTCACTTGCAGTAGTGTCCGTAATGATATGGGAGAGGGTAGGAAAAAGAATCTCACAGTACTAGATCTAGTGCAAGCGGAGTGAAGCAGTGAGTCACGAAAATCATCAAAATTGCGGGGTAACTCAATGTATATATGAAATGAAATGAAAAATGAATTACAGAGGTACAAATTACAGAGGAAGAATGATTACAGAGGTACAAATTTATGGGTCTTAGTCTGACATAAGAATAAAAATACAAACTAATTTACTGTTAATTGTTATTTCAATTGTGCAATAGACTGAAATTAAACAGTGTACAGATGCAAGTAATTTTACATGTTAGGGGAAGTTTGAATGTGGAGCAGGTGGTGAAACAGCAGTTGTTTGGAGGAATTTGTGGACGAGGATTGACGCATGGAGATAGAAAGTGAGTTCCATAAGGAAGCAGCACGAATGACGAAGGATTTGCTGAAGGAGGAAGTTTTATGGGAGGGGATATATAAGCCTATAGGTTGAGACCTAGTTTTGAGAGGAGCGCAGAGTAAGGAGTTCCAGGATGTAGAGAGGGTTTTTGGTTCTGAAGACTTGGAAAAGGAAAACACCATGGAGGAATTGTCGTCGGGAAATAGGATAAAGCCACTTCAACTCGTTGTACCAGAGTGAAACATGTGAACGCCTGGGGATCCCGAAAATGTATCTTATGAAACAATTTATGAGTCTCCTTAATCTCATTTCTAGCCTGGCTGATAGTCCTCAATACACCAAACAGTCGCAGTCGAATACATGGGAGGTTACAAGGAGCTGTCTGGGTTTTAGAGGAATACAATCACGGAATCTTAGAAGTTTTTTAAGGGCTGTTATGGATTTTCGGGTAATCTGGGAGATATCGTTATTTCAGGAGAGGTTCTGGTCAAAGGTTACTCCTAGGTTTTTGACTGTAGAAAAATAATGGATGGGACGGTTATTGAGGTTAAGTAGAGGAATATGAATATATATATTGCTATGTTTTATCCCCACAAAAGGGATGACATAAAAGATACTATGTTTTGGTAGAAGTGGTTATTCGGGATGCCACTGGATAATTATCCAGAAATATTCAATAAAAATTAGTAAAAAAAATTTGGCTCTCAATTGATTGGTCCAGGATTAAATAATTGAACTTCTTTTCACAAAGGCTGGTTTTTGTGTTTATCGTGCTTTCTAATTACCAATATTACCTGTGATCATCATAATATAATAGGTGGCAGAATTAAAAATAACTTTATAAAAAAACTTAATTTATTTCTAGGTTGAATAAAATATAAATACAAATTACATGGAAATCTTGATGTGCAAATAAGAACTCGATGAAGGTATGATTTCAGATGGACTTGTTTGTGAATATGCCATAAAATATTGCACATTAACAATCTATTATTGGGAATTAAACTTATCTGAGGCTTAAGAAATTATGTGGTTAAGTGGTGTTGATCGTCCCATCGCTGCATCTGCTAATCGAGGTCATCTGGTTCAGTCAAAGCCAAAAAGCCCATCTCTCCGGTCCCTGTAGGCCAGAAGAAAACATAAGATCAACTCTTCAATCTTTCGCCTCCCAAGCAGGAAGAAAGCATAAGACCTAGAGCCTTTTCTACAACGAGATTTTATACAAATATCCCAGGGTGGGGCAAGGATGGTTCTCATTGGCTCTCAACTTCGGCGGTTGTAAAATTATTTAAACTGGCAACACCCTAAAGGGGTATAAGTTTGCTAACTTGAACAAAAAGATTCCCAGGTAACGTGCAAGTATATAAGTAAAAGTATCAGGTAATGTGTACATTGTGTCTTTGATGTCGGATTTATTTAACTTTTTCTTTGTCGTCGGCACCTCATATTAACTTTAAAAGATTATTTGCTATGTTTAATACACAGCAATATATATCTCATTTTTTTTTTTTTACCACTACAAGTCATGAAGGGTGAATGTCTGAGTAGAAACTTGAAATAACCACGAAACTTCTATCATATCAGTAACCAAGTATATATTGGTAAATTGTTGTTCGTCCAGATTAAAATATTCCAATCTTATCAAGAATTCCTTTTTCCCTTTTTTTTTTTTAATTGCATTTCTACTATGATTAGGAAATGAATGATTCTCAGTGCTTTGGGTAAAATAAGAAATACACATAGATACATCTCATCATTCGTATAGATTTTTACATTTATCAGACATAGAACAGATATAAAAGAAGTAAGTGCTCTCTCTCTTCTTTTTTAACTAAAGGAGAGAGAGAGAGAGAGCAATCGTTTTATTATGCCTGTAGCAAGTTGTGAATTACTTTTACCAAGATTTACATGTACGTTGCTAACAATACAAAATTAAATACAGATCAAGAGAATTTAATATTTGTTTTGTTTGATTTAAGGTGAAGGAGTGAACAGATTTCTAAACAGTCATTGGAAGGAAGTCTTCGAAACTTACAAAGAGCTACCAGAGAAATCATTCGCAGAATTCATGAAAAAACAGATGAACTGTATCTTCACAACGTTTCCTGAAAAGGAATTATTTCCAGAATGAAAAGAAAGAAAATAATGCTCATAAATAAAAATAGGCCAATCAAATAAAAATTCATTGAAAAGACTGAACACGCCAATATGTATAGATAAAAAAATCTGTTAACTAAAAAGTCTACAGAAATTATAAGTGATCTTTTAAGATTATTCCGATATTTAATTTTTAAAAAAAATGATGTCTCAATATTTTATAAATTGCATAAATCAGAATAAAATGTACAGATTTTATTTTCACTTTATGAAAAAAAAAATAATAAATAAACGAAATCCAATATTTTTGTGAATATTGTGTTTTATTTTTTAGTTTGTATATATTATTCATATACGTTTTGATGTATGGGTTATTTCAAAATTAATAATTATCCCTAGCATAAATTTCTCAGTCATAAAATAATATAGTTGTCCATTTGAATTAAGTTAAGTTAAAATTTATGCGAGTTAAAATTTTTATTAAAAAAAAATGTAACAGCCTTAGAAGACCAATTACTCCTGTTCAGTATTGAACCACAGACCAAATGAATTTTTCTATAGCAGTTAAGGTCTATACTAACATCTTCAGTTTCAGACATTTTTGTTATACCCTGTAGTTTTTTATAGATCTAAACAATTTGAAATAAATAAATAAGTTTGATTAATATTTTCATAAGAACCTTTTTATCTGCATAACATTCTCTTTTCTGCAGTATAAGCGGGAAATGTACCTTGTAATATTGCTGTATGCATGCATTCTAGCTATTTAAATTATTTTCAAGACGTTTGTTCGATAAGAAGGAAGAATGATACTTAGCATGACGACCATACAAAATAAAATGCACCGTAGAATTCGTTTAAGTCTTCTAAGCTAAATATTCCTTCTTAAACGAGATAAAAAGGTACATTTAAAGATCTTTTTTACCAGACATGAATTTAAAATATTATTCTTAGTCGTAACTAGAGATCGACATATAAAATTTTCCGCTCTAACTAGGCCTTCAATTTCCTGAAAGCCTGAAAGTATATTTCAGTCTAAAATGAAATATATTTTAAAAAATGATTGAAGATAGAAGTGCTCCAGTCACCGATCACAAACGACTTTTTCCTCAGGACACCTAATCTTCTTTGCAAATAGTGCTGTTTCTTCATTATTTTCCAAAAACCTATACCAATCCGAGACTTTCCAAGACCAGGACCAAGGCCGCCTAACTTTTGCAAGACCAAGACCAGGACTAGTAAAAAAAATAGATTTTTAAAAATAAAAATGAAGGCAAAATAGTTACTAATACTTGACAATCTTAGTTACTATATGTAAAGAATTGGTATAACCAACGTATTTTTACATTTAATTCCTCTATTTTTTCATTCAGGCTTAGTTAGGTTTCTCGTTTCTAAAAAATTACAGTAATGTCTCTGCAGTAATAAGCTAATAAGTTATTGCAAGACTCTTGCGCAAGACCAAGACCATGACCAAGATTGAGTTTTAAAGACCAAGACTCGAGATAGGGCATTCTTGGCTTTAGGTAATAGAAGAGGAGCCTGCCATTGTTATTAAACATTCCAGGTTACAGGAAAAAAATATTTGAAATAATTAACTATAATAACTAGTGACTGTTCTCAGCTTATCCTCAATTCGATTGACGGTGACTTTAAGCCGATCAATTAAACGGGGAAAGCGAAATAGAAAGATGGAGCTTTATGCTGTTTAGCCGTTTGAAAGCTCTGTTTTACTTTCCTAACTCTACCTAGTAGGTAAGGAAAGTATCGCGATCGAGTCAAATTTCCGATGTGCGGTTTTCGACGTTCAGGTCCTCTGAGTCCGAAAAACACATTTACAGCAGTTGTCCTGTCTGCCTCTGCCAATATTATCTCGGGAACTAGTTGACCGAATTAGTCGCTTCCTTTTTTATTTTTTGGGGTTTCGACTACTGATGCCTGACACAAATTGGGTGCTCTCTACGCAATAGCGACGGCGTAATAAGTGAAAAACATATTTTTCTATTGTCTGTAGCTCAAAGACGGCTCTGACGATTTTGATGAAACTTTTATATTATTTTTCTAATTAATGTTCTATCAATTTTCGTACATGTGCTAAATTCCCGAGAAAATTCGGAAAAAAACTTGTAACAGAAATTATTGTCTGACTAAATTGGACACCAGACATGAACTTAAAATATTATGCTTAGTCGTAACTAGAGATTGACCTATATCAAATTTTTGGCCGATGCCGATAATCGGTTCTATCGATCGTAAGGAGGCCGATATGGCCAATATATCGGCTCCCTTTTGTCCCTTTTTCTTTAGGGTTTGTGCAGTTTCACATGGCATATCGTACTCATTGCTAAATAAAAGAATTAATAGACCATCTACAAATCCCCTTATACACAAATTTTGACCGATAAAAGGGTTCCATATATATATATATATATATATATATATAGTATATATATATTATATATATATATATATATATATATATATATATATATATATATCTGGTTCCATACATCCATCGCGCATAGAATTATTTTACCATGATTCATATCTACATAAACATAAATTTATGCAATGACCGATATATCGGCCTTACGCCTTTAATTTATTGAGATTGTTAGAGTTTGACCTTTTATTAATTTATTTATTTATTTTTTTTATGGTCCTCGTTTTACAAATATGATTTCCTTCCATTAGACCGATATATCGGCCAAACAATCTTATTTTACTTTGAGTTTCACTTGGAATATTATTTATATTGATAATAAATGTGTCAATCAGTCAACAAGGAATTGACACAAACATACATTTGAGCAGATTTCGACATTCTAAAGACGAATATATCGGCCTGATGACCTCATTTTATTGAGATGTTTTTACTTTTTTTTTTTTTTGTCCTCTCCTTCCTCTCATTCGAGCGGATAACGATATTTCAAAAAACCGATATATCGGCCTTACGACCATATTTTATCGATATTTAGAGTTGGAATATTATTCTTATTACGAATAAATGTGTCAATTAATTGTCAAGGGATAAACATAAACATAAATTTGAGTCAAGGCCAATATGTAAGCCTTACAACCTTATTTTATCGAGATTAGTATAGTTTGACTAATGTTTTCTTTCGTGAACATCTTCCCAATTTTCTGGTCTTTTTCTTCACTTCTTCACTTTTCACTTTCACATCATTTTTATTACAAATAAATGTGTCAATCATTCATCAAGAGATGAGCAAAGACCGATATATATGGAACTTTTGGTCTTATTTTATTAAGATTGGTAGAGCTCGAAAAATTTATATTTATTTTTTTTCTAGCCCTTCCCTTTCCTTAATTTGGGCAGATATCAATAATCCAAAGACCAATTTATCGTCCTCAGAACAATGTTTTATCGAGATTCAAAGAATTTTATTTAAAACATGATTTTTATTACTAGTCAAAAAAAAAATTCGTAGGCTGATATCTCAGTTAAAGGAATTGAGCCGAAATTTCGGTATCTACCGAAATTAGAGAAAGCGGAGGAAAAATAAATAAAATAAAAAATAATCAAACTCTACTATACCTGTTAAATTAAGGTCTAAAGGCCGATAAATTAGTATTTGGAATATCGGTATCTGCTCAAATGAGGGGAAGAGAAGGACAAAATAAAAATAAAGAAAATGGTTAAACTTTTCCAACCTTGATAAGAAGAAATTTATTTTTATATCGATTCCTTGGTGACTGATTGACTTATTTATTAGCAATATAAATACTATTCTACGGAAAACCCTACTAATCATGATAAAATAAGGTCTCGTGTGGCCGATATACTGGTCTTTGGAATATCGGTATTTGCCCAAATTAGGGGAAGGAGACGGCCAGAAAAAAAATTTAGTAAAAATTGGACCAGCTCTACCAATCTCAATAAAATAAAGTCATAAGGCCAATATATCGGTCTTTAGGATAACCGTATCTGAAAATTTGAGGAAAGAATAAGCAAAAAAAAAATTGTCAAACTCTACAAATCTTAATAAAATAAGGTCATATGTTGATGAAATTTATGTTTATGTTTATCCCTTGACGGATGGTTGCCACATTTATGAGCAATGCAAATAATATTCAATGTGAAAAAGGCCAATATATCAGTTTAAAATGGTGGCTAGAAAATTGGGTAGTGGTGCACAAAAACAAATTATATAGATAAAAAATAAGAAATAAATTTCTACTAATCTTGACAAAAGAAGGTCGTGGGGCCGATATACTGGTCTTTGGAATATCAGTATTTTCTCAAATTAGGAGAAGGGAGAGCCAAGAATTTTTTTTTTCCTCCAACTCTACCATTCTCATTAAAAAAAAGGTCATAAGGCTGATATTTCGGTCTTTAGGATTTCCGTATTTGCTAAAAATCTGAGATGAGAAAAAAATCGATATATCGGCATATCGGCGTTTAACATCGGCTGATACTGATAATCGGCCAATTGGCCGATATGCCAATATTAATATCGGTATCGGTCGGTCTCTAGTCGTAACATACATAATTCATAACTAGTGTTGCCCAAATGCAAGACCGAGAGGAGTCTTGGTCTTGCGCAAGAGTCTCGCAACAGTCTTGAGGTTACTTATTAGCTTATTACTGTATTTTTTTAGAAAGGAGAAACCTAACTAAGCATGAATGAAAAATACTTCTTCTTCTTCCACGGCACTACAACTCATGAAGTCTTGGCCTTCTCAAGTCGTGTCCGCCAGGCGTCTCTATCCTGCGCAGCCGCTCTCCAGTTACGTACGCCAAGTAGTGCACGTGCATCCCTTGCCACACAATCCTGCCATCGCAGCCGTGGTCTTCCTACTTTCCTAGAGCCTTGTCCATTGCTCTCCATAGTTTTTTTGGGGATTTCATTATTTTGCATCCTCGCCACATGCCCTGCCCATCGCAGTCTTCCAAGCTTTATGAATGAAAAATTAGAGGAATTAAATGTAAAAGTAGGTTGGTTATCCCAATTCTTTAAATATAGTAACTAAGATGGTTAAGTATTAGTAACTATTTTGCCTTCATTTTTATTTTAAAAAATCGATTTTTTTCTACTAGTTCTGGTCTTGGTCTTGGAACAGTTAGGCGGCGTTGGTCTTGGTCTTGGTCTCTGGGCAACACTATTCATAACTATTAATTGCCCATCATTTTTTTAGTTTTTAGTTTCTCTTACAAACATATTGGCATTCTAACACATTTCATATAAACATATTGAATTATTGTGAGCAGATTCTAGTAAAATAATCATTTTCCTAATTTAAAAAAAAATATATTAAATGAAAAATAAAATACAAAAATCTGCCGCGAATTCAACAAGAATAATCATTGTATGGTTGTTCAACACCAATCATCAACCCTCATCTTACAAGTGCTGTTACCAATTAAGCAAGAAACTCATATTATTTCCTTGCCATTATAAACGCAAGATTATTACGTGATCCCAAGGCCTTCCTAAGTTCTTGGTGTTTTTTTCTTTTTGTTATAATATCCATACTTTTTGTGATTACTTTGGAGGGGAGATAGAGATCGTTGTCCAGTCTCCATCCAGATGTGGCCAAGTAGTTTCTATGTCTCTGCATTCCTTCTGGTTGCAGTACATGCAGCATCACTGAAGAAAGGTAACTATGTTATATTATAAAGAAAGGTAAAGGCAGCAAGAGGTAGTAAAAAGATTTAAATATTTTAAGATATATGAAGCAATGTTAAAGGAGATTATAAAATATCTGGTAATTGAATACATTGCTATAGCAAAGTAGCATGAGTAATACTAATTTAATATATATTACAGTTTTAATTAGATGTATCAGAGAAACGAAATGGATAATAATTATAACATTGTAAATTTAGTATGTATGTACGATTCATCAAAACTATTGTAATTTTATCTACCAAAATAACAATTAATTAATTTTTGTTTTGAATAACTTAATTTACAACGTAATAACGTTTAATATAACAAGGAACAATTAAAATAATTATTTTTAAATTTATGGGACACATCAAGAACTACTATAGGATAGTTAGTTGAATTAACTTATTTTTATTTCCTCTTGATAAAAAAATAGATTTACGGATATATATGCAAATATTTCTTTAATACCGTTCATATAAATATGTATAATATTCCAAGTTTTTTTATTATTATTTTGTTTCTATTTTTTTTTTTTTTTTTTTTTGTACATATAGTGTGAATGTCATCCTACCTCACTATAACTAATGTCCAAGAGACAGATTGTTGTATTACTCAATAAAGAAATAAAACAAATTTCAAGTATTGAAACCAGAAAAGCGAAAAGTCGCTAAGCAGAGTGACAAGACGTGGAGTCACGGATTTATATCAAACTTTTTTTGGTGATACTAGGTCGAAAAATATTTGACCCATATTCGAGAGTTCTTGCCAATGCGCCGAGAAAACTTTTTTTCTTAAAATTTTATTATTTTTTGTTTTTATTTTTCATAGTAGATTAGTAGAACAAAACATATTTATTTTTCGAACATATTTATGAAAATATACTCAATATTTAAATATGTTCAACATTTACATACATGCTAAAAAGCTATAAACATAGATGAATCTCATAAGAGCTATTAATAATATATGGTCAAATATTGAGAAAAAAATTTACATTTTTCGATTGCAATGAAAATTCTTATTTAAGAGTTTTTAGAGGTGCGAAAAACGAACATCGCCATTGCTTATCCCAAAAAATATATTTCATAGTATAGTCTGCGCATCAACTCAAAATTTCCACCTAAACTGGAGCCTTCTTTTTTTTTTCCAGAAATCAGAAAAGTTCTCTAAAAACGAATCTGAATAGTCTTTTCATGATAAAAAATTACTTTACCTACTACACTGGAAACCTCTAATTTACTACGATAATACATTAGAATAAGAATATGTTTCTCTTATTGTACACAAAAAACAAATAGATTGATATATAATAACTTAGAAATCCATGCGGAGCAAAGTCAGAAAACAGTGATATACAAAAATAATAAAATGCTATACAATTTTTTTTCTCGATTCCTAGGGCTTATTTGGCAAATCCCCTCAGGCAAGGTTCTAATAATTTCCTACCTAGTATTACCAAAATAAGTTTCATTGGAACCGGTGAACTCACGTCAGTAACCTGTGAAATTGTACGTAATGGCATCTTTCCTATAAGAGAGTTTATCAAGGACTTATTCTAAAATTATACACTGTTCCTAAAAGTATTTAATTAGAAAGTAAGTATAAGTTATGTTTTGAAAAATAGTTGAAATTACCGATACAGAACGAGTAAGAAAATAACGAACTAAAAACGCATAAAAATATCAAGGCATCAATTTCGTCCTGACAGCTATTTACAATACTCTTTGATTATACTTTATTAAATTTCTCTTTCGTTTGCCGAAATTCAAGGCTACCTTTCATCCGACTTGGAACAGTGAAGTAAAGCTCAATATATTTTGTTTAAATATAAACAGGTTGTCGGGAAATTATATAACCACTACCACCACGATATAAAATACGGATGTCGAACATCATGTTACATAATATTTTTCACTCAATTTTTTGAATTGAAATTCGCAACTATTCTATTGAATAATATTATATTCTATCACAATAAAGTTCACTAGTAATAATGTGGTGAGTCCGGATTTGTAAGCGATTGTGTATTTTGTTTATATATAGTTTCTAAACATCTGATTAAAAATCTTTAGGAATCAGTAAACTCCGATTAGTCCAGTCCATGAATTCTCGAAAAGGGTGTATAGAAGGAAATGACGGAAACACAACTTTTGACTTTGGAACATTGTTAGGACTAGTACCGAGGTAAAAATAGTAATAAAAGTCCCCACTCCTAGGAGGTGAGCCAGTTGTGGAGGGGCGCCTAGAAAGAACTTTTTTCGTGTTTTGCTCGTATCAGGAAAACTATCCATCTCATCGACCAAGACATTCTATACAAAATCAGAGCTGATAAAATTTGATCGTACACCTTTTTAGGTACCTCGCTTAGTTTCCGAGATATCCGTCCTCAACTACGGTTAATTTTGAAAAAAAAAATGTTTGCCTCATGTTTATTGTTTTATTTCGGGTGTCCGCTTATATCAGGAAAACTATCCATCGTATCGACAAAGACGTTCTATATATAATTAAAACTGATACAATTTACAATTTTATACATTTTTCCCCTATCTCGCTTAGTTTCTGAAACATCCGTCCTTAACTATCGCTAATATGGAAAAAAAAATCATTACTTCAAGTTTTTTAATGTATTTGACTAGTTAACTCTTGGTTACTTCGTTCAAAGGTTAAGTCATGAGATAGAAAGTTTTTAATAACTAATTTTTTTTCAGAAACATATATTATTTTACTAACCTATCTCCAACTGTTTAAAAGTTCCATCAATTATAACTTTATATGCAGGATAATTTTGCAGTCATTTTTTTTTTAGAAAAATACGTGATTGTATATACAAATTATATATATAGATGGGGGCTGGAGTTATATAAAGTTATAATTAGTCTAACTTTTGATTCGCTGGAGAAAAACTAGTAAAATAATACATATTCTTAAAGAAAATTTAATTATTAAAAACATTCTTCTTCACGACTTGTACAAAAGAAGCAATGAAGAGTTAAGTCAAATACAGTAAAAATCATGAGGTAATTTTTTTTTTTTTCACAGCGATGGTTGAGGACGGATATCTCGAAAACTAAGCGAGATAGCGAAAAATAGTTTTCCTGATTTAAGCAAAAATTCGAAAAAAGTGACCTTCTGGGCGCTCCCTCTCTCACATCTGGCTCACCGCCTAAGAGCACGAGCGGCTCTACGGGTGGGGACTTTCGGGCTGAAGCCCCCCCCCCTCCCCACAATGGTAAAATATAACCATGTTTTTTTGGAAAAAAAAATTTAAAAATACCTCTTAAAGTATTATTGTTCGTGTAATTAAATTTAAAAGGACTTTAGGAATCACTTAAACGCCATTTCATATAGGTAGTTAGTTTCTTTCTGTTTTTCTAAAGTAATTATCGTTATTTTTATGGAAAAAAGAGCTTTCGGGCTGAAGCCCCCCCCCAAAATTAAATCCTGGATCTGCTAGTGCCTAGGAGTGGGGACTTTTAGCATGTTTACCTCCTTATTAGTCTAAACAATGTCCCAATGTCAAAAATTGTGTTCCCTCCCAATTTCTTTCTATAATCATTCACTGACTGGACTAGATGCAATTAATCAAATTTTATTTTGCATGTTTTTGTGTTTCTATTTCAAAATCGTAATGCTGTCGTTGATTTCACAAAGAATTTCATCCCTTAAACATGGTAATACTACTTTCAGTTGCTCAATATTAAGATGCTGCACATGATGGTTTCGAAAAAAAGCTTTATCCGCAGTGCGTCTCACATGTACTCAATGGGATTGAGATGTGGAGACAATAAAGGCAGGGGAAGAGGTGAAATGTTCAGATTTTAAAGACATCGATGATCGACTTTTCCCCTATGAGGTCACCATACCATCACCTCAAGATGGCATTGGAAGAGCACAAAATGTGACAATATACCTATCCGCTGATGTCGGCAGACTCTTCGGCGCCTACGTTCGCTATAAAATGCGACTCGTCTGTAAACATAACAGCATTGCAATTTATATCCTCACCTAGGCACTCGCTTTATCGTAATCTGCGGAGATTCCGGTGACGCTCTTACTGCTAATCGTCTTAAAGAGGCAAGTTTTGGTACTATTGGTTGAGGTTACTATTGGTACTTTTGTTTTCTCAGGATCTGGCTAAAGCTCAGGAGAGGCTAATTACATCGGCGATATCTACTTGTTGGTACTCATGTCCGCTCATTCTCACGATAATATTGCTAACTTCTGGTTCAATACGGTGTCATTCCTTTTTCAAACAGAATATTACTGGTTGAGAAAATTAGAAAACAACTGTTGGTTTACAAAATGAGTATACTGCATCTTGACTATCATTTAGTTAATAATTTATTAAAAATAAAGAATAAATGTTGTTTACTTTACCAACAGATAAGAGACTCCCTAACAAACAAAAAAAAAGTATTTATATTTGAATAAATAAAATAAGAATCAATCAAATATTACTATTCATCCTCTCTCTCTCTCTCTCTCTCTCTCTCTATATATATATATATATATATATATATATATATATATATATATATATATAAGAAACGATAATAGAGAGAGGCTGTTGGGTACTTCGATCCACCACTATATATATAACAGCCTCTCTCTATTATCGTTTCTTTATAACAGTCCATCAGTCCATTAAGAAATAAATCTAACATAAGGAGTCCTTCAAATTACAGAAAAGACAGCAAAAGAATTTAAGAACCCAGTCTCAGTCTCTCAAAGAGGCGGAATATTATACAAGGATGTTTATATAATAAATATGCATTTGAAATATAAATATATTAATATACATATTAATTTTTCTTTCTTTTTTTTTTAGCCTCTGATTACTTCGAAATTTGTCACACATCAGATCCTAAGTTCAATGAATGTGTCGCAAATACATTAATTAAATTACGAGGGAAATTGATGAAAGGTAATATTACTTTAATTCATTAACAATTACATATATATTTATCTGGAAAAAAAAATTGATCTTAAAGAATTACATAAGTATTCTGCTATCATTAAAGACTGGACATTTATGCTATTGCATCTTTTTTTCACTAGCTTCAAATTAGGCCAAACCACGACAGAAATTCGGATCAAAAAAGAGGAGATTTTATTGGCACTAATATTGTATACTACATTTTGATGATTTTATGAAAGAAATTCAGCTTTATTTAAAAATGCATAAGTGATTCATGAAAATGACTAAATACTATTACTAACAGATGATATTCAGTTAGGTAAATAACAGCTTGATTATTCCTATCTCGAGAAAAAGTTTTAGATTGGCTCAGTAATTGCCGTAATGTTCGGCCGAAACTAATACCAACTTAGCGTTATTTAAAGTCAGTGATCAATTGGTTGCTAAAAACTGAAAATATTCTTGAAAAGTTTAACTCCAAAATGGAACAAATAATATATATTTAGCGCATGATCTAAATAATTATAAATAAAAGTTGCCACAAAATTCTGTGAAAATTTCACTTTGGTTAATAAGCTGGATAGCCATGGTAAATAAATATTTATCATTGTACCTCAACGTGTGGTATTGTTCAAACCTGAAATGAATTGCTGGAGTGGTAATAACTAGCTAGAGAACCTGAAGAGAGGTTACTCTATCTATTCAGAAAACTTTAATTAATTTACAACAGGGGTGCTCATCCCCTCCCCAAGGTCGATTGGGTAATAACCTACCCGCCCCCCTCCCCTCCCTCCAAGATATTTTTCGCTCACTTTTTCTTAAAAACAGAAGAAGCTGAGGTAGAATTAGAGAAATCGTAGATCATATACAATTACACTTGTTGCGGTCTGTTCTATGTTTCCCTTTTGTCCCTTAGTCCGAAAATTCATAACCCTGTCGAAATTTGCCTCCCTCAAAAATTTTGATGACGTAGCTTGCGCCATAAAACCCCCTTCTGGGCACCTCTGATTTACAAAATTAGTAACGATTTTAAAAAACACTATTTATAAAACAATGAAGATAATTGCAAAAAAAAAAATAATGTAATAATAATGATGTTTTATTTTTTCATAAATTATGTAGAAAAAATCAAGTTAAAAAATTTGTTTTAGTTCATTACATGTTATTGCGTGTTTTGGGATTTTACTGCACGTTTCAAAGGTACTTACTGCACGAAAACGCTGTCATCAGTTATCATTAAGTACTTAATCATGCACGATGAACCAAACCACTTACAAATTACACTCTACTAATGGTAGAGTCAGAGTAATATTTCAGCAAATCCAAATACGTCCACCAACACATACGATTATGTGACCATCAGTGATGCCCATTACTGACAAGGCCGATGGCGCATCCCCTCTTTCCTAGAAATTTTATTGCTCTACCCTTCTTAAACAGTGCAAGTAGAATTTAAAAAAATGTATATCATATATAACTACTCTTGCTATGTCTGTTTTGTGTTTTCCAATAGTTCCCTATTATGAAAGTTCTTCTAAATTGAACCCCATAATTTTTTTTTTCGTTCCAAACATTCATAACCCTTTAAAACGTGTTCCTCCCCCTCAAAAATTAAAACTCCCATAAAAATGAGCCCCCATCGAAAATTTTAATGGCACAAATTATGCCAGGCAACAACCTTCTGGTCACCTATGCATATCATGTGAAAAGGATTCAATTGTTATTCTCATGTTCCATATGGTTCAAGTACCCATCAAACAGGGGAAAACCTGTTGTTTATGGTAAGCTGCGGGTCTTGGAAATAAATATCCTCTGGCTACTGAGCCTGCAACTGTGCAGAGTCCCTGATAGGGCTGGATCCATCATTGTGGACTGCACCGCCTTTGGGGCAGGCTTTGACTCTTCTAAAACGGTTTCCTACAGTTGGTGACTGACAATGATTCATACAAAAGATATTTTTTCCAAGCATGGAAACGGCGGTTGGCTCTGTCCCATTTTAACAAAGAAAGAAGAACTTTTTTATGGATTAACGCTGAGCTGTGGGTTGTCAATACAATCTCTGCCAGGAAAAAAGTCCATGTAAATATATTAGTTTAGTTAACAGTTATTTTTTAGTTGGAAAAATATCATTTTAATTTATCAAATATTTTTGTATTCAATTGCAAACGGAATTAAGAATATTCATTATATCAGGGTTCCTATAATAAAAAAAATTGAGAAAATGCACAATAAATATAACAATTACCTAAAAGATCATATTACTTATTAATTACATAACTATGTGATTAACAAGTAATCAATTAACAAATCACATTGCTAAACTTTAAAACCAAAAAATAATTATAATGCAAATCTCTTAATACGTCCAAATTTCTTTCATCACCTATTCCACATTCATTAATGTGACATCGATCTTGGGGAAGAGGGCATCTCTGCAGGGCCGTGGTCTAAACACTTTTATCAATAATTTAATGTGAATTAAGATTCTGATATTGGTTCCTGAGATATTAGTAACAACTATTCCTACCGTTTCTGTGACCATCGCAATACCATGACCCTTTAGGATTCTTTGAATAGTTACAAAATCAGTCTAAAAAACAAAGAAATATAGAATTTATGTTGATCATCCTGTAGGCATGTCTTTAATCCAATATCAGGATTTTCATACTGAATTGAGAAGAGGATAAAGTTAAAAGAAGTAATAGGAACAAAATGTAAAGTCTGATATTTCAGTTCATTTCATACACATACGGTGAAATTTTGCAGTTCATTTTTTTTATACATAAAAGAGTACAATTTTTTTTGTTTTTATAATTATTTTATTTACCTTAATGTTATTCTAAAAATCAACAACTAGAAAGTCTTATTATATTCATTAGAACATGAATGGAAGGTGAAATATTTTCCATAATTATTTTTTATTTTAGAAGCAAGCCTTCTTTGTTTTTAGTTAATTATTATTTAGTTAACTACCTGCTTTTTTTTTAAATGGTCCATACTTTTGGTGCAGCAGTATATTAAGGTTCTTCTACTAAGTTTTTTAAGTTATAAGTTTAAAGATATGTCTATATAGAAGATGATAAAGGAATAAATTTACAGTATCTTTCATATGGTCTCTGACTGAATACCAAAATATTAACATTAATTAATTTATAGCATGCACAATTTCAAGAAAATAATTCTTATAATAGGTATATCTTATAATAAATATGTCTTACATTCGACTTTGGTTCTATTTCTTTAGGGATACCCTCATTGAATTTGCTACCAATAGATCCTCTTGAAGTAGAAAAAATGGAACTAAGGCAGGGGAGCGGAGAAAACTTTCATATTTATCAGAAATTAACTGATCTTAAAGTTTATGGTTTAAGTAACTATTCAATAGACAATTTCAAGTAAGTTATTATATTTTTGCATAATTTTTAAGGGCTAAAATGACCCGAAAGAGGTTGAGGAGCCTGCCATTGTTATAAAGAAATAAAAAAATAAATATTTTTGCTTTTGTAATGTTTAGTATACTTATTAATAAAAAATAAACCGAATTTTATACTATAGAGTCGGATAAAAGAGAAAAGATAAAAGTTGTCTTTATTCAGTATACACTGAATTTGACCCATTATACCTTCTTCTGTGAAAATGTTTTTTCTTAAACTTTGCCTTCCATGGACATGTTTAATCAAAAACAGTTTACAAAGAAATAAGTACAGCTATAACTATATAAATGAATGCAGTTATATAATGCAGTTATATAACAATCAAAGAGATTAAATTAAGTCTATTAATAAAAAAAAAATTGTTTTTAACAAAATATTTTGGTACAGGTTTGATTATAAGAAAAAACAATTGAATCAAACTTTATCATTTCCACTGGTAAAATTGGATGGAGCTTATGAGATCGATGGAAAGATTCTTATTTTGCCCATCAACGGAAAAGGAAACGTCACTTATACGTGCAGTAAGAAAGAATATTGACAATTCAAAAAATTTGATTTTTTTTATATTTTTATTTATATTTATGCTTTAACAGGAAATGTAACAATTGACAGTATAATAACCTTTGAGAGATTTGAGAAAAACAAAGAAAGATATATAAGAATTAAAGATTATAAGATACACATCCAGCCGCAGCATGCAGAAATACACTTCACAAACCTATTCAACGGAGATAAAAGATTGGGTAAGTAAAAACTTTTATGTTTTAGAAATGTGAATTTTTATAATTTAAGATAAAAACTGCCAGAGTAAAAAAATTGCCCAATTTCCTTCACATATTATGATTTACATCTTTGATAAAAACAAGAGTAAATGTTGTTTGGTGAAACTCCAAAACTATTATGTTAAAAGATATCTGAATCATGGTTTCAGACCTACTCGTATAGAAAACTTTCAGGGCTTGGTTACTATGGGGTTAATATAGGCCTACATTTATAATTGAAGACCTGTTTCAGACCAAACATTTATGATTTTTAGTTCTTCTCCCATTCCCCTTTAAAGCCATAAACCATACAGTGCTGATATCTATCTTAAACGTACTATCATAATTAATTTGGCTTATAAAACAATAAAAAAACTAGAGTGAAATAATTAGCACAAACCACAAAGGCAGGATTTTTCCAATAGTATAGTCTGGAAAAAAAAGATCAACCTCATGAAAATAATTGAATAGCAACTTAAATAAAGTTATATTTTGGTTCAGAAAACCAAAATAATAATTCTGAAAAATCAAGTATAGTTAGCCTTAATATTGCTCTCCCAGACTAAAAAAGACAACTTTAAATGCTACCATCATAATTTTTTATTTGTATTTGTATTAAGTCTATTATCCGATGATAATCCTCAAATAATAAACACATATGTTCTACAATGATTTTCATTTCATTAAAGTAAAATTTAGTACAGTCCCTAAGTAGAACTTATCTTGTTTCTAATATCAATATTAGAACTTTTTGTGTGAATTTAACAATAGGAAATCTATCATCTTTGTGATTTTTTTGGATGCTCCCCTTCCTCCCCTTTAAGGCTATACGAGGTTTTCCCGGGCCAGAGGGTGTAGGCGGGAATTTAACAGACTCCCCCGGCACCGGGACGCGAACTCGTGACTATTTTATATCCATTATCTCATAGATCAGGTTGCCGGGCAACAGCGATGCTGTGCACACACGTTAGCTCATTCAGCCGCCCCCTGTAACTATTTGTGTCCAATAACTTAACAATAATTATTTTTTATAAAAAATTACTCATTTTTAACAAAACCATTAACAAAATCAAATGACTATCCTTTTTTTTTCTTCTTTCTTTTAAGGTGATGCAATGAATACATTTCTAAACAACAACTGGAAGGAAGCCTTCGAATCATACAGAGAGCTGCCAGAGAAAGCCTTCGCAGACTTGATGAAAATTCACATGAACCGTGTATATACAAAATTTCCTGAGAATGAAATTTTCCCAGAGTAAAATTCAAAAGGCAATTTGAGAAGAAAAGCCTTGAAAAGACTGAATACACCTATATGGAAAGCAAAAAAATCGCTTTATCCAGAAAACCTTCAGTACTTGAGTTATTTTTTAATTTATAATTTTGATTTTAAATTAAAATCTTTACTTTAATACCTCATTATTATATAGATTGAACAAATTAGGTTTAAATTTGAAGATAATTAGAAATTAATTTTTTAAAAACTGGTTAAAATTAAATTCCTTGTATTATGTTCATATTCTATAAGAAAATAAAAATGTTTATGACTGCATGCGCCCTATTTATCACCCATGATATGTAGAGTAGTCGACTAGCTTTCTTCAATAAGAAAATACATATATGCTGACATACATACCTCAATGTCATGAAAACTTATTTAAATACCAATTTTTTTATTTTATATATAAAAGAAAATCTAATACTTAATAGTTTAAAATTATAAATATTAAATGTTACAAATTTAATTTAGTCCATTTAATGGAGATATAGATTGACTATAGTAATTAATATTAATAAAAACTAAAATATAAATACATTTTTAAAACATGAAATCAATATATATCAGTATGTTTTTTATATTTAAAAAATAACATATTTTGAAATAAAAAAGAAAGTTTCTTCAATATTTTTATCCTACGATTTCATGATTTATTTCCTCTAAAACACCAATCATCTCCTAATTTCCTCCCTCATTCTCATCCACTTTGACTTTGACTGCAGAAGTTAATTACATGAAAGTTTATCTGGTACACAATCTAATTTACACCATCAATGATTTTAAAAACAATATATATTTTTTTTTATCAAATTCATCGTAGAAAAGAGAAGAACGAGACATTGAATTAAGTAACATTATTTGTCTGGAAAGTACGCGATAATGAGTTTTATGGCGTTGGGCCATTCGGCCCTGAAAGTTCCTGGCATATAAATTTATTTGCTTTCAGGGTCTCTTTAAAATGTCTAACACCAAAGTGTAAAATGTTGTCACCTGCAGCTGTCCCATTCTTCAAAAGAATTTTCTCTCAGTGACTGTCGTAGAGCTCTCACACTTCGGTGTTCCTGATCAACAGCCAGTCTAGCCGCACATTCGGTGATTTCAGAGTTATAATAAAAATGTGGACTAGAACAGCCTTATAATGGCCTTGATACTCCTGCGGATATTTACATCAATCCCATCCAATATTGCAGAGCATTTCTTTGTAAGGGACACAGACAGGAGAGAGTAGGTAAGAACACATATTGATTGACTAATTACAATTTAATTTATAATTTTAAACGATAGATAGTATCAGCTATCTGGAGAGCCATGGACAAGTTGTTGTTCCACCCTCACCAGTACTTGGCAATGTCACAGATATTGAGTACAAATAGATCTTGGCATTCCCACTCAACACTTGAATAAGGCTGGGTTATACCAGCTTGAATTTGATAATTCTGATGTGACTGACCCTATGGTCAATTCTTCTGAAAGAAGTCTAAAGTTGTGACTTAAATTACCTGATTCTACATGTTAAATAACAAAAAAATAAATTTCAATTCAACACTAACCCAAATAGGTGACTGACTATCTACACTATATATGTTACAATAGTATAGATGTCTTTTCTGGTCCTCAAGAGTGATGGATTTTGATCAATCAGGTATTAAATGAATGGGAATTTAATCTTCAGGGAAAAGTAACAAATCCCAATTTTGATCCTTAAATTACTTCAACTTTAATAAAAGTCATTAGAAAAATAGAGATGTTCCAAAACTAAGATGGTTTCAAAGTCATCAAATCTAGATGGGATAAATTGTGTTTTAAAGATTCATGTAAATTAGGCTTTGTGTTTTAAAGCCCAAATATGTCCCATGTTAGAAATAAATTGTGCCATGGGATACTTACCACATGTTTAACCTTTAAAAATTAAAACATTTCTTTTTACATTAGTCTTCGACAAATTAAAAAGTTATTGGAAAGGTAGATGGAGGAGAATAGCTAAAATAGAAAAAACTTTTTGATTTATTTAATAAATTAAAAAAAATATATCTAGATATGGCTCCTATACTCTGAGTAATTTACTACACTCTTAGTGACAGAACTACAAACAAAGGCACTAATGGACCAAACAAATATGTCTTGAATGAGTATAATAAGAATAAGTTCAGGGACAGCTGCGTCTTATTGCTCAACTAACTGGAGGGATATTTTCCGATGGGACAAGTTTACCACTTATTAAGTAAATTTTTAACTTAAATACTGTGCTGAACAGGCTACCGTGATGATATTATAGTATAAATACGAATAAACATGTCTCTAATCCATTGGATGAATCAGGGAGAAAGATAGCTATCTAATGTGAGAGTTCTCACTGGGGTATACTAATTAAAGGAAAGTTAAACAAAGGAACAGATACTGGTGGATATCTAGAAATCATAACAAACTTAAATATTCAGGAAATTAATTATTTAAAAATAATAGTTCAATAGTGTCAACCAAGTATATCCAAAAATTGAATACAAGATATATAAATCTTATTAATGTTCTAAAGTAAAAAATAAAACCCATTCTGGAATTATAATAGAATTATTTAAACGTGATAGGGTTAACTCACAAAATACTTAAGACAAATATAATGGGCATCTAATATAGATAAGACGTATATGACTTATACTATACTATTTCTAATAAATTTAAATTACATATACCACAAAAAAAAAATTGCGTGACTACAACCAATGAAGAGTTAGATTCCATTTTTGATAAAAAAAAAAATACAGTTACAACATTTTATGCAACAATACTAATTGCTACACAAGAGGTCATCTGGCCAAAATGGGACATAAACCTAAGGTTTCTCCCAAATCATTTAAAGGATCTTGCAACCACTTTTCAGGTTGTGTCCTCAATTCAATTCATGATTCTTCACGGATCTAGGCTCAAGGGTTAAAAGTCCATTATGGTGTGGAGATGGTTGACTATAAAAAAAAAGTCCATTAAGTTACCGAATAATCTACAGCAATATACTTCAGAACTAAACTTTTTCTCAACTAGGTCGGCAGCAAAACAGAGTTGAATTGGTATTCAATAGTTTGAGGACAAGTTGAAGATGTTTCCAAATTGATTTAAAAAAATTTTAGTTTTTAGTTAATATTATATAGATAAATTTAAAGGGTATCGAGAAAATGACTTTAGGAAAGTTTCATTGAAATCGGTAAATTCGTTTAGGCGCTACAGTCTATAGCAATGCAGGTTTTTCTTTAATTAACCTATCAAATTCTTTCAAAAGTTATATGTAGCATTTTTTCGGAACTCTGAATAATGCGAAATTGTTAACTTTCTAAAATAAACCGTATTAAAGGTACTTTAGAGGAAGACATATATGAACATTGGGCATTTAAGCCCTGTAAAATGACATCAACAGGGATAAGACCTAAATGATATTAAAGACCACTTAATTATACAATGATACACCGAGTTTGATCAAAATCATTAGAGCCGTTTTTGTTAAAAGTTTTAACAATTTATTCATAAATTATTGATTTTACTTTGTAATTGTGGCTAAATGATTGACTATCGTGAATAATGAAGAGAAGGATAGTTGGGCTGATCAGTCAAATAAGAAGGAAAAAATAAATGATAATATTTATTTTGACATTTGCCGATGTTTCGACCTGAAGTTCAGGCCTTCATCAGGGCTGTCTCCAAATTTGTAAAAACAGAGAAGATTTTATTTTATCTGAGTGATCATAATTTTAATAGTTTATTTCAGTTACCTCGATTAAAACTCATTTATTTTTTAAAACAAATTAACAGGAGTAATAACTTTTTTTCTAAAAAAAAAATTAAAAAACGTTCATTATATTCCAAAGTATTCTTCAACAATGCTGGTTACCAGATAATGGTAATAGAATGTAATAAAATATGCTAAAGACCAATATCACGTAAATCTGTGAAAGCAAACAATCACAAATTCTAATTATCTCTTAACAGTTTTAAAAAGATTTATTTAAAGAGAGATACAATAAAAAAAATTAATTTTTCAAGATTATTTCCTGTTTTGGCCTCTAACATCCAAAGTAATCATAGTGTTAAATGTTTAGGAAACATAGGATTAGTTCATGTTAAACATTAGATGAAGGTAGAACCAAAATCGATATGCATTAGACTAAATAAAATGCAACAAAGGATGATTTTATTATTATTATTTTTTTTTTGGTTTATGGACTAAAAATAAATAAGAATAAAATTATACAATAGAGATATGTTTGAAATTTATAGAATTTTTGTTTGGATTTTAATTACTTGAAAATGTACAAAGAAGCTCGAAATGTTGTTGTAACTTAAATAAATAGTAAAATTATAAGGGCTAATCGATCCTTGAAGACACCATACCGCACCTCTTGAGAAACAATGGCGAATGGGTAAATTTTTCTTTAAATGAGTTAACAAATCTACAACGAATATTAATATAAATCTACAATAAAACACCATTAAATGATAATTTACAAGAGCTTTCAACTATAGCTGATAGGTTCTTTATGAATCATCGCTATAGTTTTTTAATAAGATGAGTTAATTATGACAAAATTTTCATACATTTTTTAAAAATTTAAATTGATACTAATTAAATAGAACATTATACATTGTCTTTAAACACATTAATCACATCAAAAACATGAGTATTTTGTAAATACTAATATTTAACTTTGAGAAATCAGTTAGTATTCTTAAGAAAATAAGGAAAGTTAAAGTTCGAATTGAGACCATTGGATCTCTTCAGGATTTTAAGGGTAATTATTTCACTTTTACATTGTGTATAAATGTCGTGACAATGAACTCAGAACACTTCTAAAGATGACTGAAGTTTAACATATGAGGAATAACACTAAAACTCTATCAGGGGCAGCTAGAATTATAGAAAATTATTATTCACATTTCAGATGTGTATAGCAAAAAAAAAAAAAATCTTATCCCAGAGCTATAAAAATTAAATATTTCATTAAGTGATAAGAGAGGCTATAAATCTGAGCCACAGACTAGATATGACAGATAAACACATTATCTCATTAAAGATGCGGAATATTCGAAAATTGAGATTACACAACAGGTGGTTAAATGAAGAAAAAGAGAATAATACCTAAGAAGAACTAAGACTTAGTTAAGAACTCAAACATTTTTTTCTAATGAAAGAAGCACAGAATTTACTAAGGCAATAATTCATGCAATGACATAAATCTAAAAAGACCAATTTAGTGACAACTGTAGGAATAAACAAAGAACGTCGATATCACTATTTACAAAGACATTTTTTTTAAATATTAGTATTGTCATAATGACATCCATAGGCCTGAAAAGTTAGGATAGTTTTTAAGATTTTACATGTAATAAACTTTCAGCTTTAAGGGGATAATTAAATATTAATCTTATCATCAACCCAAAACATTAAATAGGATATTAAGGTTTAAAATTGAAAATGAAACTAACACTTGAGGTTATGGAAAACTTATATTAATATGATTTTATAGTATTTATAACAATAAATAATAAAATTTTATTATATAATAATAAAAAGTAAAATAATAAAATAAATATAATTTGTAAAGGATGAGTGTAAGTTCTACATCAACAATTAACATAAAGATAAATAAATAATTGAAATTTAAAAAAAAATATCTATATACACATCAAGATAATATAATATTTACAAATATAATACATCTTTAAAAAATAATTTACTATAATACAAAGATCGTACAAAAATAATGTTATGTAATAATTATTGCTTAAAATAATATCTAATCGGTATATTGATCTTATTGTTAATGCTTTATTGTTAATTAGATTCTAATTTATTGTTAATTAGAATCATTTGCGATTGACATTTCAATCATCATCATCATCATCGACAGCCTCATCACGACTTTTTATCACTTTCCAATGCTTTGCTGCGTCAAGTGCTTCTTGTGCAATTTCTCTTACTTTCTGTTTCTCTTCATCATCAATAAGAGTAAAAGCCATTAAAATCTCCATTATGTCTGTCTCAATTATTTTCTCTGCCAGTTCTTTGCTAACGGAGATAATATTATTAACAATAACCACAGCACGTTGCTGAATATCTACATTTGGATGACCTAGAATCATATGAAACATCTCCAGCCAAGATTCAACATCGAATATTTTCTTACAACATTTTTTACTGGCAGAGGTCAACATTGCTAATGCTCCAGAAGCAGCTTTCATGGTTTCTTCATCTTCTTCTCCACACAGCAACACCATGAACTTTATTTTGTCATTGTTGCCTTCAAACAATTCAACAACTTTGGGTGAAATAACCATATTAGTCATTACCTGTGTTGCAGCTCGACGTAACATTTCATGATCTTCATACATCATTCCCTCAATTTTTGGGATACCACCTTCCTTTATAATAAGAGTACGAACAGATTCATTCATAAAAGCTAAATTACAAAGAGCAAGAAGTGCTTCTAAGTTTTCCAAAGCATTACATTCTGGATGTAGCAATGCTAGTAATGGGCGAACAACCTCCATACATCTCTGACCAGGAAAAGCAACAGCTGGATCCATTGTGATTCCAAGTCGAGCAAGAGCTTGAGAAGCACTTCTAATACCTTTTTCAGTTCCAGCATAAGTCATTTTTAAAAGGGTCTTCACTGCACCTTGTTGCACCATTATTCCTCTTAAATCTACTTGGGAAGCTAAGGTGTTAAACACTCTAGCAATCATTTCTTTAGAACTGTCAGATTCTGTTTTTGCTAATGAAACTAAAGCACTTACTGCTCCTTCCTTAACAATAACTATACAACGTTGAGCAACAAAATCAGGATCGTCAAGTTCATGTTCTTGGGGAATATGATGTTTAGCAAACTTTGCTAGCTCAACAAGTTCAGGCAGTACCTCTTGTTTGTCATAAGCATTAACAATGTTAACTAAGGTAGTAACAACACCATAAACAGCTGCTTCATTTCCTGATTTAGCTAGGTCAAAAAGTGCTCTAATGGCGGGTTTTTCATTGACAAGTTTTTCTTTAACATCAGCATCTAGAGTGAGGTAAGATAAGCCTTCAGCAGCCCAACGACGTGTTTCTTGATCTTTAGACTTACTTACAAGGAATTTTATACATGCTTCTGCTAGCCTTGTAGTAGCGCCATCAGCAAAAGGTCTTATAGAGGCATCAGTACCCCCTGAACTTCCTAATTTACATAAACCAACCAAAGCACGAACTCTGATACCGAGATCTTTGGATTGATAAAGTTTTTTCAAAATATCAGCCCCTTGACTAACAATTGTTTTAACTTTCTCTTTCTTAGAAGCGACAGCAATTATACATTCACAAGCAACTTTTTGTTGCAAAATATCATCACTATTGGCCATTACAAGAACCATTTCCATCATACCTTCTCTTGAGAGTATGTTGTTACCAATTTCCATAGGTCCTAATAACAATGTGGTTATAGCAACAACAACACGTATTTTCGATTCTAATTCTGGGGTAATTAATTTACCTTTTATGAAGTCATCAATATTTTCCATATATTTCGTTCTTAATTCATCATAGTACATATTCTCATAAATTCGAGCTAAACATATAGAGGTAAATTTTCTGGTAGAATCAGTTATTTCCATAGAAGATTCATATTTATACTCCTTAAGTTCACTAGCAACTTCCATCAGACGTTGAAGACCCTTGATTTTAACAAGTTGCTCAGCCCAATTAATGTATTGGTAATGAACGTTTCTTGAAATAAGCTGAATAATAGCATCACGAGCTAAACCACTTACTGACCTACTGGTACAACCATACAACAAGCAAGTCAACAAAGTATCTATTTCTGCTTTATTTTCTTCTAACAATTTTGGGTTAGGCTTCTCCTCACTTTTCTCTTTCTTTTTTTCAATTCCTGCAAGGCTATTTAATACTTCTTGAATAGTATATTGAGCGGCATACACTTGCTCTTCATTATTACTATTCAAAATATCCAAGAACCAAGGAATACCTAGAACTTCTATTACTTTTTTAGTATTTTTTGCACTATTAAAACAAAGCTGACTAATGGTCCTGATGCAACCCAAAATGATTTCATGATTCTTTTCCACTTTAAGCAATTGTGAAATCTTATTAACAACTCCAGCTTCAATTAAAAGTTCACTTCCTTTTCCTTCCTTACAAAGTGGGACAAAGTTGGTTATCGCTTTGATACGTTTCTCTTTATCTTCTTCCAAATTGAAAGCATATCGAAACATTTGTTGAACTTTATTTTCTGTTCGGGTATTTTCATGAGCACGCTGCTCCACAATAGCGTGTAAACGAGACAAAATAGGCTGTATAATCTTATTGCTGGGATCTAATTTAAAAATGAGCTTGGCATCTCTATAAGCCTCTTCAAATCTTCCTAGATTCTCAAGAGCTTGGCATCTTCTATACAATGCTTTGGGATCATCCGGTACAATTTCGAGAGATTTATCACAATCTTCAACAGCTCTGCTGTAATTAGATTGTTTTAAATGGACAGCTGCACAATTTTTTAAAAGAACGGACCTCTCATTTGAAAAATCGGATGTTAATTTGAGAGCAGATAAGTAACAGTCCAAAGCATGGTCTAAATCATTATTTTTAAAAGCAAGATTACCTTCATCTTTTAACTCAGTAGATTGTTTCTCATTTGACTTATCACTGATTAAATCCTTTGCACTCATGATAAAATAAATCCAAAAATAAGATTCAGATTAAACTAGACTGAAGTAAGACACAAGTAACTGGATACAATCGAAAAACATTCTATTTATGAGAAGATGGATCTAGAACAGATATTTTTAAACTTAAACTTTCCTACTACCCATTTCATCAAACAACGTCTATATCAGATAGAAGAAGAAACTACTATTAGTTATATATAAATTATGAAATAAATGAATAGATATTATACTCGTGAAAGATGTCAATTTCAATTTTAAAAACATAAACCTTAAAACGTAAAAAATTAAAACAGTAATGAGAAATAGTGGGTACTTATCTATAGGATAACCCTAACTAAAATTGTTCAAATATCAGCTTTATGAAGCATTTATATTAAAATTCGAATTCGGCTAATGAATCCTCAGTAATATGGTCTTATTATGAATCATATTATTATTATCATATATCTTTTTTTCAGATTATACCTTCAATGTACGCTCATTTTCTTCTATCGTCAGATATAATCGATAATAATTAATATTTAATAAAAATATATAATATATAATAAAAAAACTTGTTTTAGCTATAATATATTTAAAAAATATATTTTATCCAATCCTTTCCAAAAAAATATCATGTCATCTTATCACACACCTGTTCAGTTCAAAATTTTGAAGGAGATGGAGGGGATGGCGGGGAGTGAGGGAGTGAGAGAAGTCCATGAGGATTAGTTGATAGTGGATTGTTGGGGTTTTAGGGTCGTTTGAGTTACTGATAGACTATCGTGATTTTAATTTTTAAAAATGACAACTAATAAAAGTTCCAAAGTTACAATTGTAGGTTCCGGCAACTGGTGAGTTCTCAGAGTATAGTTTGGTTATCATTCTATTCTCTAAATATATTGGTCCATCTACTTTATTAATTTTATTATTTTATTTTTATACCTAAAGGGGCTCTGCAATTGCTAAAATTGTTGGCCGAAACACTAAGAAACTATCAGAATTTGATCCAACTGTCACTATGTATGTTTACGAAGAAATGATTGATGGCAGGAAACTGACAGAAATTATTAATGAACAGCATGAAAATGTTAAATATCTTCCAGGAATAAAACTTCCCGATAACGTTGTAAGTACTTTTTGTATTATATATCAAATAAGTAACATACTAAATGTTATCTGTTATTTTATACTTCTGCTCATTAAAATTAAACAGTAATATTTAACATAATGAAATATATTATATTTCATTTTGTACCATATGAGCTTCTGATTTATTGTTTATATCTTATCACACCAATGTTCAAGGGCTTGCCTCTTCCTTATCATTATACACTATTTTCCAAAAAAAGCAAAATTGTAAATTCTTTACAGAAATGTTTTATATTATAATATAAACTTTACAATTGTCTTAAGTTTAGTTAACCATTCTCCAACTCCGCAACATTGGCCATGACTTACATTACTTTTATGTTCATGCCTTACAGAGCCAGTAGTATTTCTTAAATGTAGATCAGTCACTTTCAAGGTCTGCATGTACTTAATTCATAATGAATGATCATTAGCAAGGTCGTTTATTACTAGACTGACAGTTAGTTGAATTGACCCACTGTTACTGTTATAAACTCTGTTATTAATTATGTAAATATAGTAATATTACTTATATGTAAATGAAGGATAATAAAGCATTAATGGAAAATAAAAAGTATTTCTAATTTAATGAGATTATTCTGGTAAATGTTAAAAGTTTTCATTCAATTGGTTAATTTAATACTATTATGTTACACGTTGTGAATTACATTGTGTTATGTATTGATCTTAATTTTCGTAATGTATCAGCATAAATTCTCAGCTGTCAGTACAAGGACTATCTTTATTTTAACGGGCAATATAAATTTTTCTTTTAATAATGCCCAAAGTTAATAATTCTAATTAAGATTTTGTCAACAAAAGCTTTATGAGTACCTACTCAATTAAAGATCTCATAATATATATTTGAATTTAATTTATGTAAATATTTTGAAATAGATAGATTTTTTAAAACTACTTCAATAAAAATAATCGAGTATTATTAAAACGTAAATGTTCATATTTATATTCCTTTTTGTAAAGCAGTCACACAATTATTTAATAACAAACTTTTCTTAATAAGCTGTACCTATAAACTTTAAAAAACAATTAGCCTGTTTAGTTAGTATTCATTATTTTATTTTTTCTGCATAAAAAAATTATCTCATACTGGTATTATCTCATAAAAAAAATTGTCCTTGAATAGTTGTAAATTCATAACTGCAGCTAGATGGTAGATGGTGTTGTTGATTGAGCCTCAACATTAAATTTGAATGAATTCCAAGCTTAAAGGGTTACTTGTACTTATTTTTAGAGAAGAGATAATCATCTTCTCCAATCTGCAATTATTTCATTCTTATTATTTTAGGCATGATAAAATCTATAGGCTTCAAATTAAGCTAATTTAACTTCTAGATCGATCTTGTCTTCTAATATATTAACTTAAAATAATATCTATATATTATTTAGCAAAAGTTAAGCTGCTCACACAATGTTAACTCAATTTTTTTTCATCTTTCAATTCTACATATTAATTATTTAAGTCATTATTTTTGCTAATAATTCTGTCTAGTCAATAAGATTACATTCAGTGTTTATTATTTCAATTTCTATATTCTAATACAATATAAATTATATTAATTATTATTTATAGTTATTTAATTTACTATTATTTTTGTGTCATATGATGTTGGAAAGTTCACTTTAATTAAAGCTATTTTACTTAATGGTTAAACATACATGGTGGTGTCAGGCTAAAGGGATATTTACTAACTAAATATATATTGCTAATGATATTTTGAAAACATATTTTATTATTTAGTTTTGACTTGGGGACTTATGATTTATATTTTGCAGGTTGCTGAGCCGGATCTCATAAAAGCTTGTGAAGCTGCTGACATTCTTGTTTTTGTGCTTCCTCACCAATTTATTCCAAAAATATGTTGTATGCTGAAAGGCAAAATTAAATCTAATGCAATTGGTCTGTCTCTTATCAAGGTAACTTTGAATAATACTATCAGGAATTCTTATATTTAACCTTTGATCACGTAATCTTATCAAGTTTTTTAATGATCAAGGGTTAACTTTTCTTCTCTTTTTTCTGTTTAATGTTAAAGTTAAAAAAAGTTTCCTTAGCATAATCTTTCTCTGACTATTTTTATCTACTCCTTATATATTTTTTTAATTTATACATATTGATAATTTAATGACTAATGGTGTTCTTATCTTCCTCATTGATGTAGGTTGACTTAATTATATCAATTAATTACATTGGTCAAACTTCAAACTCCACCAATTTTTCAAATAACATATTGTGGTTCGATAGTTCAAAAAATGATATATTTCATTGTAAAATTATATTATAAGATCATGTTATTTATTCTCTTTTACATTTATATATATGTGCACTAAAGTAATCTATCAAATGAAAGTCTGATTTAAAATTAATAATTATAGACTGCCTTTAATATTGTAAAAATATTTTATTTAGTCCTATAAATTTGAAAACTTATATTCTAAATGATATTTAATTTTTTGTCTTCATTATTTAATTTGGAATTTAGATCTTTTGATTTACCTAAGTCGGTTATTATATTTAGATTTACCATGGGATTTTTTCTATAATATTGTGGTTTGCATTTCTATCCATTAAATAATGGAGATTTACTATAATTATTTACTGAAGTTAAATCTGGAATATGGGAACTCACAAATACTATAAAATTATTTGTCAGCAATTCCAGTATCTTGGATAAAAGGCAGGACACAATGGTTTCTTAAGAAAAATAATACCACATTGAATGTAGTTTCATTACTATTGATATTTCTTTTAAATAATGAGTATGGGTCTTGTTTGATTAAAATGTGAGGTATAAATAAAATTCCTAAATAACTTAATGTAAGTATATGATTATAGTATTGCCATTGGTATGGTGTTTATTCATTAATAAGATAAGAATGTACATAATTTTAAGAAAAAAATTGTATAAAATAAGTTGAGAATTTTGACTGTAAGAATCGAAATTAGGTGAGTTCCTGAGATATCTGTAAAGATTCAAGGCAGCGAGCGAACCCAGTAAAATCATTGATTCTGAAGTAAAGACTTTTTCATATATATTAATACTATTGTCTAGAAAAATAAAAATTGGTGAAAGATTACTAATTGTAAGAATTTTAGTTGACTATAAGCGTATTATAGAAAATTACCAAAGAAATATAATTATATAAATATAAGATATAATAATTAAAAGATCTACTTAATTGTAAAGGAAGGTAACGAAGAATTCAAATTTGAGTGATAGAATTATCAATTTAACCTAAAAAAAATAAAATAAAATAAATTAAATCTCTGCTAAAACAGTAGAATGATTTTTTGGTCCATATTATAACTTTAGTTGCAAATAAGACTTAATTATGAGTGCACAGTGTAAAAAAATGTGAAATGAACATTTTAACAATAATTGTTAATATAGAACTTATCGAATTTTGAATAATAAATCTGAAGATTTTGTACGAATTCCTCCACCAGTTCTTATATCCATGTCAATCCAGTGAACCTATTTGAAAGCAGCCTCAAGATAATATTCTGATTTCGTTTGTTAAAATGATTAGTTTTATAAGAATTGTTAATTATTCATCTTGCTGACTTTGGATGCTTATTTTAACTGTTGCTGTTATTATTTCTATTATATTCATGAGATACAAAACCCTCAAGGGCAGATCATGACAAGGGACTCTAAGGGGCCCTTTAATTTCTCCCTGCTAAGCGTTAAAAATATAGTTCATTCATAATTATTTAAAATAAATATTTTTCTCTGCAATTATAAAAATAATTAATGGTTATAAATAATGATTAGAGTTTTTTTATTATGTTCGTTAAATAAAGATTATGACTTAAATTAATTCAAATATAATTACTGAAATCATTGTAACAAAATATGAAATTAATACTGGCCGACTAAGCAATTATTTGTAAGCTTATAAAAATAATATTTCATATTAGTTTTTTAATCATAACAGGAGACCTAAAAAAATTAATAGTTCTTGTACAAATATATTATAATGATGACAGATTTATTGATATAAAAAATTAATTTGAAGACTACTTCTAGATCTGTTGCTGATTGTAATAAATAACTCAATAGAAAATAAAGTAGGCAAAATTACAAACAAACATAGAGCTACAAAGCTTTTTTGTTGAAAATGAGCAGTCTATTTATTTTAAAAAAAATCTTATAGAATGCTTTATATATGGTTACAATTTTGATATTGTAGGTTGTACCTAATATTCTGTGATCAATATTTGTTAATACGTATAGTTTGAGGTGAATTGGTAGTTAAGCATAATATCTTAAAATGTTGAATAATATCAATGATATAAAATAGAATAATATAAAAACATAATTGCTGAAAAATAATGAGGAAATTACTATGTATTTTAACATTTTTTTAATCTTAATTTAATGTTGTGTTGTGATGGTTAATGTAATAGATAATTGGCGTGAGCACTCAAGAGGTCTTTTGATATGGGGCTTATCATTGCTAAAATTTTTATTTTATCCTATTGTTTATTAAAAGCATGCACACATTTATTATTGATTTTCTTTATTAGCTTTATTATTTTCTTTATAGTGGACAATTGTTTTTACTTAAATGGATACTCCTTTAGTGTCACCTCTTGTCTAATATATATTATTCTTTTATTGTTGTTTGTTGGTACTCGTAGTCATTTTTATTTTACAATGTGATTGACTACTGGAATTTGTTCTATGAACTTATTCTACCTAACTAAGTTGTTTTTATCAATTAAGAATTAAAATTTGTATTTATATACTAAGTTTGCTACCTAATTATTTTTCCCACTTTATTATAAATTATTAAATCATTGTATTACTTTCACTTATCTATATTTGAAAAATTTACTGAAGGAGGAAAGTATTGTGATCATGAAAAATTTCAAATCTCAGTTTTCAACCTCAGAAATACACATTTTGAGGCCCTCTGAGTCCAAATAACCAAGTCCTGCAGAATGGTCTGTGCGTGTTAACAGTCTAGCTCAAAAGCGAAAAGTTATACGAGAGTACAATTGCAAATTTAAGGTTTTTATATGCTTGGGATATTACAGCAACTTTTTTGTCAAAATCGGCTAACTGGAAGTGGCACTTTATATTATGTACCTAACACATTTTCACGATTTTCTCAAAAACGGCTCTAACGATTGAGATTAAATTCATTATATGAGTGTTAAATTAAGCAGTTTTAAATAAAATGTAGGTTTTATTCTGATTAATATTATCTTACAGAGCTTAAATGTCTAATTTTCAATATTAGCTTCCCCTAAAGTATGTTTAATTTCTTTATTTGAAACCGTGTACCATTTCACATTGATCTCTAATATAAAAGATACTTAAGTATAAAATATAAAAGCCTGAGCTCACTCGAAAGATTAGAACAGGCTTCCATTCGTAATATGAGCTTAATATAATACTTATTCCGACAATATTATGTAAATATACATATGCGGTTTTCATAAATGCTATTGTTTGTATTATTCAATATTTTGTTGCATAGATTACAGCGGTATAAATTAAAATTTCTTTATGTAAAGGTGCTTATACAAATATAAATAAATATAGCATCTATAATTTTTGCTTTCACATCACCTTTGTCTGAAAATAATTATTTCTGCTAAGAAGAGGGTGATGTGAGCACCACACTACATTTTAATTTTTATTTATAATCTTTATTTGAATGTAAACAGGGCTTTGTTACCAGTGAAGAGAAAGGAATCCAACTTGTATCCCATTTAATCCACAATTTACTTGGAATTGAAGTTGCTGTTCTTATGGGTGCTAACATAGCTAATGAAGTAGCTAAAGAGGAATTCTGTGAAACTACAATTGGTAATTTAATTTCTAATTTATTGCACCATCATTTATCCGTAACAATAAATAAATTAATACTTACAAAGAAATAGTCAACTTGATTTCCTGATCAATTGATAGCTCTTTGTTCAGTCAAAATGAACCAAATATGATGATAAACTGACAATAATTCTATTCAATAATTAAGATTGAATGATCAGAATATTTACCCCTGTTTACCTATCTTCATTCCAGACATAATTATTAAAATCGCAACCTCTAGTATTCTGATTTTCTCAACTAATTTTACTGAAATACCTAGTTCTGCCATAAATACTGTTACAAAATTTGACCTTTGTTACATCCTTGGGTATTATTTAGATAATCCTTACCTCTATCAGGTTATTTTCTTTACATGTCAGGATAATAATCCCAATTAGTCTGTATTTTTCTTTCGCTCAGATAACATGGAGTGGGGTGATAAAACCGAATAGCTGTCATTGTCTTACACAAAGTTGAAAAATGTAGGTCAGAGATTTTCATAACTTTAAACCCTTTGAGTATCAGCCAAATATCCGTATACCACACTATAAATTGATATAATGAGATCCTATTTGTATGTAACAGACTTCAGCTGGACCATCCCCGCACTGTGAGAATGGTAAATGCAGTGGCTGCTAGATTCAGAACTAATCCCATTTGAAAACTACAAATCATGTCTCGGGAAATGGGAATCTGTCAGATCAATGTCTCACATAATAAAAAGTGACCTTAGGATGGATGTATTTTGAAGAATGACAGTATAAAGGCTAACCACTTTCCTATAAAAAAAATTAGTATGGATTGTTGCAAAGTGCTCCTTGGCCGCAAACCAATAGTCTTCATCGAAGATTTTGTTAGCGATGAGAAAATTTTTGGAATTGAGGAAAAATTTAATCGCCAAAATGATAGTGTGTAGGCACATAGCTTTAAAGAAGCCCAGGAAGTTATTGGAAGAGTGGAAAGAGGACACCACCCTTCCTCAGTTCAGTGATGGTTTGGTGGGGAGTTTGCTTTGATGGCACCACAAAGCTCCATTTTTGTGAAAAAGGAGTTAAAACAGCCGCTAAAAACTATCAGGACGATATTTTGGAGCTTGTTGTTAAGCCTCTAAATGATACTCTGTCTGCTAGAAGTCACTGGGTTTTCCAGCAGGATTCCGCTCCAGCTCACAAGACCAGGTCAACTCAGCAATGGCTGCAAAAGAACATTCCAGAGTTCATCTCTGCCTCGGATTGGCCCTCAGGAAGTCCTGATATCAACCCAATAGATTATCGGCTTTGGTCCGAACTGAAGAGGATGGCATGTCACAGAACACACCCCAACTTGGAAAGCCTCAAACAATCTCTGGTCCGAGCAGTTGAGCGCTTTCCTTAAGAAGTGCAGTGTGCTACTATTGATGACTGACCATGGAGATGGTGTCAAGGCAAAAGGGAGACATTTTGAGTTATTTCTTTTTTTTTATTTACTCTCTGTAGTTATAAATTTCATTTTCTAATAAAGCTTTTGAAAAATTAATTTTTCTGTTTAAATCTGTATATATTTCCTTTTAACAATATTTATGACAGGACTAGGTATAAAGTTGAAAGCTTTGTAGGTTCAAATATGGCCTGTAATAGTTATTCTCTGACCAAATATTAAAATGGATGATAATTTTATAAAATAATTTAAAGGAAAAATAAAATAAATAGATAAGTCTTTAGTTTTTTTTATAAATGTACACTTAAAATCATTGTGTTATGTAACTAATCTTTTCCTTGAATACATGTAATATATAGATGAACAAGTTAATATCAGGATGAATAGATTCTTTTGTTCCATCTTCTTAATAACTATTTAATTTATAGTGAAAACCAGAGTTCTTGCTGGTCGTGGTAGACAATGCCATATTTTCTTTAAAAATATTTGTTTTCAGTTTGAAAAAATTTTAATAATTTTTTAAAATATTATTTGTGTGTTTTTACTTATGATTTGTTTTTTACTTTTGATTTGTTTGAAAGTTAAGGTGAAAATTAATTTTTACACTTGATTAAAATGTGTTTACTTTGATTAGGTTGCAAAGATTCAACCAATGGTCTCCTTTTGAAGAAATTAGTACAATCAGAAAACTTCAGAGTAGTTGTTGTTGATGATTGTGATACAGTAGAAGTTTGCGGTGGATTAAAGGTATGGTTTAGCTAGAAAATACCTATTTTATTATAATTAAGATACGGATTGAAGTGAATTATTTAAAAATTAAAACTTTCGTAGGTTTTAATAGTAGAGAGAAATACTTTATTGAAAGCAGTACTGCCCTACTATATAGGGTTGCTCGATACACAGCATACTCACCAATCCTCTTCTTTTTTTTTTGACATAGCACTTAATTATGCTTGAATCACATACTTATATATATACAAATTCTTTTCCATATCACTCATCATATATAATATTAAATTATACTATACTAACATAATTACAATTATACAATATATATATATATATATATATATATATATATATATATATATATATATATACATATATTTCTGTAAAACCGATACAAAACAATCTCTGAAATTTATTGAAGAAAAAAAAAAGGATATTTTTAATGCCAGTATTCCAAAATTAGAACACACACATAGCAAGTAACATAATCCTATGAACACAGATGAAAAGTATATTTAGTTAATTTATTTAAAATTGAATAAATAAATAAATGATAGTAAATATCTTATTTTAATTTATTTTCTTCCCTACTCTGCCTTTAAGACAATACGGAAGTTTGCAGCAGTGACTTGATACACATTTTTTGAATAAAAAATCACTGTTGCAAGTTTATCTTTTTACATTGCTGTGCACACAGCCTGCTTGATAATTTTTCCTCTTATTTCATCTTCCTCCATCTTCTTCTCCTGTCCTAATCAGCGTCCTTTCAGGTACTTCTTCACGCCTACCCAGGGAGAAGTGGGTTGGGCCCACAGTTTTTTTCCACCCGCATACAAAAGTTTTAAAGTGCAGGTAGTTTGGTTCAGACATCAGTTGGGGTAATTGTCTTTCTGTTAGAACGTAAAGCGCTGTATCCCTCATTAATTTGGCTCTCAATGCCTCATAGCTGGTGCAGGCTACAAGGATGTGCTCGGCGGTTTCAGCTACTTCACAAGTGGGGCATAAGGGATCGATATTTTTACCATGTATAAAAAGTTTCGCTCTGAAACCCCCATGCCCCATGAGGATCTGTGAGACTCAGTAGTCCAGGAGGACCCATTTCTTTTCTAAGCGTGATTCAACGATGGGAAAGATTTTTCTTAGTGTGGACCCGTTTGGGGTTGTCACCCATTGCCGATTCCATTGTTCCAATGTATCCTCCCTAAATAATAAATATCTTAATTAACCTCTAATTACCATAAATGTGGTGATGAATGATCCCAAGGGAGTTCAGAATAATACTCTCAACAGACACTGCTAGCTCCCCGACACCAACATCTATTTCTTCGAAGAAGCTCCTTGTTCTTTTAGGAATTGTTCTGTGATACCCAAACCAGAGGCCTCTCACGGTGATCTCTCTCTCTCTAAAGATCTCACGGAATTTCTCTTTTAAGAAAGGGATACATTTATCGTATATTCCCTTTTTTCTTCTTCTACTGCACTGGCCTGATCGAGGTCATTGCTCTGATAGCGTACAGTTGGATCTAAGACCAGTGCCGCCTTTCCAGTCCTGGAGAATGCAACTATATCCGCACATTCCTTTAATAACAAGTCTAGAAATTAATGAATTGTTTTATGTATGAAGTTTGGCATTGTTCGAGCTTGAAATTGATAACCTTTGAATTTATTTGTAATATTACATGAATGTTTAATCTTAAACATTTCTTTTTAAACTAATTAAAACTAAAAATTATTTTTTACACATAGAATTAGTATTTAATATTTTGACTTTCTTGTGTGTTCGAAATTTGAAATTATGCTGCTTGGTCATCATGCTTCAATTTTTATAGAATATAATCGTGCTTAAATTTATTTATGCAATTGAGTTGATTTATGTGAATATGTTCAATCATAAAAATCATTTTCAGTCTGCAAGACACTAATATAGATAGATACATCTAAAAACATAAACCAATTTTTCCTACAAATATGCTTAAGTTAATTTAGTAATGCAGTAAGTGTAATGAAAGTTTTTATTTATTTCTAGTCTTCATTAATAATGGGAGCTAAAAATTACATTCCTAAACTTAACTGTTGAAACATGTCTAATAAAAAAAAAGACTGTTGGGTTATTTTCATGATGAACTGATAGTTCGTTGGAAAGCAGCAAGAGCTTTTGTTTCGTTTGGACAAAAACGAAACGAAAAACAGATCGAACAGCAACTCGACTAGTGGCGAATGGTTGAGCTAAAGAAAAACAACCGTTGTTATCCGTTTGGAATAACAGTTCATTCCTTTGAGATCAAGAATTGTTCTTTTCAAACGTTTGGCGTTTTCTCTATCACCCCTAGTTATGAGGATGGAGTTGTTGAGGGCATTTTCTCAGCACATGGGCTGGTGTTTCAGACCCTCTGCTACATTTACAACATTTATATTATATTACTAAATTTGATTATAAATGGAATCCAAGAAAAATTGGTATTCTTTATTTTATTTTCAACCACTTGGGTCATTTTAGCCGTATAATAAATTCATAGAAAAATTAAGAAATATTAATAGCAATTATAAAAAACTTAAAAAATTAATTATTAACTTTATTTTCCTCTCTCTTTATGTGATTTTAAATATAGATTGCATTATTAAAGTTATAAGAAATTTTTTCTTTGCTCAAAATTTTCTTTAAAATTGATTAATTTTATTAATATGGGAATTACAGTTTTATTTAAAAAATAAAACAATAAATGTTATTGTATTTCATAAAATTATTTTCTGGTAAGTTTTTTGTTATTTTAATTTGTATTATTGTTGTTCTATGTAGATAAACATTTCTATTATTTTTGTTTAAATGATTTAAATTTAAAGAGCTGTTAGATACATTTAAAATTTAGTAAAGTAATTTTACTTTTTGGGATTGAAATTGGAGAATAATCTTAAAATATTCAAACTACTTTTTCTTAATTTCATGCATTCCTGATCATACGATTCGTTGCACGAATTTGGATATATATATCTTATTTTATTTGTCTGCTATTTAGTCCATGGATACTGGAATTAAATACTTTTACATTGCTCCCGCCTCCTATGGACAAATTTATATTTTTCTAATGATTTGTAAATAATGTTTCATGTAAGATTCATATTCAATAGTTCAGATAAAATAGTTTTATCTTCTGTTCTGTTTATTTAATTATTAATATTCAACTTCATAAACAGACTCAAATAACGTGAATAAATTCAGCTAGCATTTCAAACTATTTGATAAGCAAGCTAATACCGTATCATTTATGGGAACTAAAGCCATTAAGTTATTACCATAACCATTTTATTGTAATGGGTTGAGGTTCTTTTAAATTCAATTATTCACAAGGTTATTGTGAATGATTGAAATGATAAATAATTTACTATCATTTAAAAAAATCTCTAAGATAATTCTTAATAAAGTAACTCCCTCAAAGCAAAATAAAGGTCTACTTTGTCATGGAACAAAAATATGGTCTGCAGATTTTCTGAGTTCCTGCATCAGGACCAGATAAACTAAAATAATGGCTGTAGAGATATTTTACTTTATAGTTTCTACTGTTATAAATATTCTGGTTAGCAAATATTTATTCAAACTGGCAGTAATGAAGCTTGAAAGAAAATATCTATTTGGTATCCAATCAATTAAAATTGTATTATGTCCTTCTGTTTAAGAAGGAATTCATGAAAGCTGGGATTCTGTTATGAAAATAATGTCTGCAGTAAATGATTTTTCATATGAATATTTTGCTTTGGAGAATCATTCTGCATTTATTACTGATTTATAAATAATAAATAAACTTACTTTCAGAATTTTTTTCTTGTACTTGTTAGGAGTCTAAATTTCTATTTATATTTGCTTAATAACAAGAAATAATTTTAATATTGATATCTTCTCAACCATCATCTAAAACATTATCTTCACTTGTTGTTTTTTATTAGAAGTTCATTAAATTATTCATTTTATCACAGATATCGGTACTCATACTGTTAAAAGGACTAATTTGTAAAGTACACCCAATTAATCCACTGCTAAATTGCTAAATTTTTTAATTAGCTCTTAGACAAATATTAATCGCTGATTTGTCTTTAAAGAAAAATAAATCTGTATTAAAATGTCACAAATTTTACATATAAGTAATGAGTAGTATCTCAAAGCTGAATACAAAAGAAGAGGAGTTTGATATTCCTCAAACACTCATTTCTAAATTTAAATTATTCCATATTATTGTATTAAAATTTTGATCAGGAATTAGTCATGTCATCTTTATAAATAAAAATTTCATTCATAGAGATTGAACATCCAATGCCTTTGTAAAACCTATCAATGTCTAGAAGTGATACCTTATTTTTCCAGAACTACTGCTTTACCATAGGAACAAAAAACTGTTTTAAAACAAAATTAATCTTAAAAGCGTCCAAGTTTTTATATATTTTTCATGAATCTAAGGTGGGATGTATAATGCTTTTCAGTGATTTTATATTTTAATTATGTCGATAAGTTTACCATTGGAAGATTATTTTATTATATGTACAGTTTTAAGAGGAAGCATGTCTCACGTGATCAGGAAAGGCGTTGGATTTCAGGATGTTGTGTAGTTTAGTTGGGTTACTATCGTGGAATCGCGGGTCGATTAATGTTAGACTGCGGTGTATCAGGTTTTTAGCTACACTGATTTTTTGGTGGCAAGGATGTTGGGAAAAATAGTTTAGGAGACGGTCGGAGTAGGTAGGTTTAGTGTACCAATTGGTGGATGAGGTATTATCATTATTTCTGGAAATGGAGGGAATTATTTGATTCTGTTTCAATGGTAAAACTGAGACGAGGGGGGTATGAGTTGAATGCAGAAAGTATGTTTGAAATACCGTTGGGGGTTGAGGATTAATAAAAGGTCGTCAACATATTTTTTAATGAAAAAATATCATTAGGAAATTGGGGTAGTATCGAATCAATTAGATTGTTTAGGACAATACTGGAGAGGTCTGGTGCAAAGCAATTACCCATCACCAAGCTAGAAGTTTGATAAAAAAATTTTTGAAAAGATAGGTAGCCAGAGTTACGGAAGGAATGAGGATTTATTATATGGTAGACCAATTTTCTTCAATTATTTGGCATCAAGGGAGGCTAAGATGAAATGTGGTGGGTGGTATGTTCAAGGATTTTAGTGAACATGGATCAGTGAACAAAACCATTTGTAGTCAGTTGAAAATCTCTGTCCTTGTGTAGAGAGTAGGAGCTTTACTGAGAAGGTGCCAGACAAAGGATTAGCAGAAGAGGATGGTGCCCCAAATGAAGAATAAGAAAAGCAAGAACAAGAATAGTGCCCAGCTCAAGATAAAAATTGTAAACTGTTTACCATGCAGCAGCTGGTTACTGTGAAAGGATATTTAATAGCATGCCACTAGAGCAAAATACTATGTTGCCTAAAAGTCTGAAAAGAAAAGTTGATGAATAAAATATAGTTGAAAATCACTGAACTAATTTGTTTTGATAATTCTGATATATACATTTGTACTTTAAATAAGTTTTTTTGTTTATATATTTTATTAATTTAGTCAACTTCCTAATTTTACAGAATATAGTTGCATGCGCAGCTGGTTTTGCAGACGGTTTGGGTCTTGGAGACAACACAAAAGCAGCCATTATTCGACTTGGAATGATGGAGATGATAAATTTTGTAAATATGTTTTATAAAAATGGAAATGTCAAAACATTTTTTGAAAGCTGTGGTCTTGCAGATTTGATAACCACATGTTACGGAGGCAGAAATAGAAGATGTTCTGAAATATTTGTCAAAAGCAACAAAGTAAGTTTTTTTTGTTACTAACTTTTTCTATCCATCACTCTACTTCTTTATTATAAATATATTATTATAGTTAGACTGATTTATAAACTGGATATATCAGCATCTCAACTCATAGTATCTTTTTTGAATATTTATACATATTTTTTTCTATACACAAGCTTAATCTAAAATCTTTAATAATTTCCATACTGTCGCTTCTTGCGTTATTCATTTTCTTCTGAATTCTTTATTGAAAGAATGAACTGTTAATTGTAGATTGAAGCTTTTAAATAAGAAAATCTAGTATGTACATTTTGTTCAGGCTAAAAAAGTATTTTCTTCTTCTGGACAACTATATTCAAATATAATTCTCAATTTATTGTTGAACAGTGTTCATCAGTTTAAGTAAGCACTCCAGAAAAGTATATCAATGCAATAAATTAGAAGTATTTACTGTCTCTATGTACAATTATTATTCTCTTCTAGAAATTAATAATTTATTTAATTTTAAAACAAATCATAGATCTGCATTAATTGTTTGACATGAACTAAATTATTTTTTATTTTGTTTGTAATATAACTATTAAAACTTTAAATTTTTAAACGAGTTAACAAAAAATGGCATGTATTTGAGTCATATATTTTTACCATTTATTAAGATGAAAATTTTTTAATGTCACGTCTATAGCTTTTTTTTAAATTTTTGTTCCCTGAAATACACATTTTATTCCCTGCATGTATAAATTAAATGAAATTTGCTACTATCATAACCTTATTTTTTAAATTAGATTTTTCCTCAATAATATCAATCCTTTTAATTAATAGTATTGAAAAATTTGTCTTTTTGATTTTATCATTATCCAGTGCAATATTTCTGGTAACCTTGAATGTATTTTTCATTTAATAATTAAAAATTAACAATGTTTTATTATTCAGTCTTTGGATGAAATAGAACGGGAAATATTGAATGGACAGAAGCTGCAAGGACCATTAGCTGCAGAAGAAGTAGTCTTTATGTTGGAACAAAAAGGGGTGACACAGAGGTATGTTAGTCAAGTAGTTAATAATAATTTACTATCAACTCGCTACTTAATTAATTAATAAAAAAATATTACAACAGGCAATATTGATGTTGTTGAGGTAACAACTTTAACAAAGAATTATAGTGGCTTGAATATGCCATTTGACATATTTGTATTAGTTCTAGAATAAGTTTATCTTGGTCTCTTGATAGTAATGATAAGTAGTATCTCAATAATATAGATAATTACAAGTGTGGTCTTGTGTGGTGGTAAAATTCAAGATTATAAAAACAAGATTATAAACAACAGACTATATTATACCTCTTTGTGACAACCTCCAATATTACAGCGTAGAAGTCATTCAGCCCATCAAGCCTCCTAAGCTGACTAATCTCTAGATTGGTATGTTAGTGCAACCACATATTGGAATCTTCTTCTTGCTCTAATAATCAAATACTAGCTTGGGTCTTTAGTCATCAGGAAATAATAGGTTATGAGAAAGCCGTTCATCGAGGCATGTATAAGACATGTTTCTGAGCACCAGAACCTTCATTAGGTATCTTCAAATACTATTAGCTAAAAGATCTGAACTGGACTTGGAATGGAGCAGACATGGATTAGATTGAATATATTGGCCTAAGATAGTGGTTCCGAAACTGTTGCATACATACCAATATTGCCAACCTGTTGGAATCTCACCTTTCCTGCCCTAGTTTGAATAAATGTGTGCCTTAAACCAAATTAATGACAAACATCCTAAAGATAATAAGATTTGATATATTTTTTTTTTTTTTTGGAAGTATTGAATTGTTCGTTCATTGAATTTGCTTACTGCTGCTAAAGCTGGGATCACCATACTGAAAAAGAATGGTAAATATAAGTGTGAACAAGATCTGCGACAAGTTGACACTTTCGCATGCACTCTCTTTAATCTAGTTGTAGAAAGCGCAGTGAAAGATGCTGCTATAGAGACAACAGGCACTATATTTACAAAAACCACTCAAACACTGGCTTACACCAATGGTATATGTATTATTGGGAGATCCTTGAAAACTATGATGGACGCTTACAGCTCGCTACGGCAGCAGCAGTGAAGATGGGACTTGAGGTCAACTAGGAAAAGACCAAATATATGACAACTGACAGCAGTCAAACTGGTCCAACCATTCAAGTCGATAGATACAACATTGAAAAATTCAAAGGTTCTGTGGGGGATATTTTATTACCATATAAAGAATAATAACAACTTACTTTAGACCTTTATTTTGGACATTTTACATTAATAAGTTACCCAGCTTATCTTTTTACATCAAACAGATGATTCTAATTAAAATCAAGCACAAATATTAAAAGTTACTTTTCTTGAAAAAACAGTGTTCCCACAATTCAAATATTTGGGATCAGTAGTCACTGTGAATAATAATATGAACCAGGAGGTGAGTCAACAAATGTTTGCCATAAACCGAAGTTATGGCCTCCTGAAGTATATGAAAAGCCGTTTACAACTACAATAAACTGAACTCCTGTACAAAGTCCTTTTAAGACTGGTTCTGACATATGGTGTGAAACATAGACAATGGCAAAGGTCAGTGAGAGGAAAATATTATTTTTTTAAAGGAAGGTCAATCGGAAGATATTTGGCCCAGTGAAGGAGAATGATGAATAGAGAATTAGATGTAAACAAGAACTAGCCAACTTATATAAGGAGCGGATATGGTGAAATATATCTGGATAGCAAGGCTGAGATGGACAGGCCACGTCATACGGGTGAACGAGACCTCAACTTCAAAGAAGCAGCTCAGCATGACAGATGGAGTAAGTGTAAATGTAAGAATCCTTGATATCAGGAACTTGTGGACGGTTGTTCAGGTCAGGCAAACGTGTAGGGCAATCAAGATTCAGTAATAGATTGTCGAGCTCAGAAGAATGATGCTAGAGCAGGGAAGATAGGATATCCACACCTTACCAGAGTGGGAAAAAAAACAAATAGGTTTAGATTAAAATTATTATTTGTTTTATTCATTTCAATATTTTGTTGTTTAATTTTAGCTTTCGGTACTATTAGATTTATTTTTCTCTTACAGTTTTCCTCTCTTCTGCGCTGTTCAAAAAATTTTCAAGCGAATTATCCCTCCTCCAATGTTGATTGAGATGCTGAGGGAACATCCAGTCCATCAGTAAGTTAGAAGAATGAAAAAAAAAGTTTTTTGTTTTAGTGCCATTTACCAAACCCTCTTTCTTTCAATTGTTATTATTTTTAGCTTGTCTATGGTTATTTGTTATTTAAATTATCAATATTTCATTGGAAATTAATTTTAATTTTCTTCAGTAGTACTTATTACGAATTTCAAATTTTATTGAAAGAATCGTTTTTAAAATTTTAGCAAATTTCCTCTTAAAATGTTAAAAATATGATCGAAATTTATGTCAGTATACATTCTTTAGTTAAGCAGTTTTTTTATTCAATTATTTTTTCATGAACAAAGGAATACCAATTCCTTTTAAGACATTTTGACAGATATTTTGATTATAACAAAATTTCTTATTTAAAAAAATAATAATGAACCTTTATCCTGTCATATTACACTATTGAGGGATAATTTTTAGTCTTTTTCTTAGCCTGTTAAGAAATAAAAGAATCAATTTTATTTTTTTAATTGATTAAAATCCCTCTCAACCAGCTCATCTAACCTTCTAGACAAAACCTACAACTGGATAATATAGTTAAAATGGTTATTGAGCTAAAAAAAAAAATTTTTTTTACTATTTAAATCGACTGTTATGATTTTAAAAAACATAAAATTTGTAAATCATAATTTAAGCCTTTTACTTTTAAATAAAAGTATTCTGTAAAAATTACTATCTCTGAAAGAATAGTACTACTTACAAGAATAATAATTTTGCTGGCTCGTCGAGAGGTCTTCCACTAAAAGCTAGTTTCTTTTAACAATTCAATTCATTGCGATTCAGGAAATTTGCTAAGATATTCACTAATATTTTCAAAGTTTCCAGAAACGACATAGACAAACTAAGTTTTTTTGCATGGTTATTACTTTTTTTTTTATATTACGCTTGTTAGTCAAATATTTTGTTTTTATTTATCCCACCTAGTTATGTTTTTATAATCTGATAATTTTATTTTTACAATAATGCTACTTAATTTTAGACAAGGGTATTTAGAACTGCTATTTGAAAGAAAAGAAAAAGAAGCAGAACAAAGATAATAATATATTTATTTGTTTTAAATATAATATTGTACATTTATTTTTTTAAATTATATTTATAAATATTTTTTGTTGATTAATATAGCACAAAAACAATGTGATCTTATTTTTTATGACCCTTTTATTTGTTACCCACGTTTGTGCTGTTAATAAGTTTGGTGATTGTGGTATGTGGATTGCGTTAATTGCTGCATGCTTACTAACTTTCTTTTTATTGGCCGAATGAGCATGTAAATGTAATATTTATTAACCATTTAAAAATAAATTTTGTTTTTTAATGTTGGTTATTCTCCTATAGCTTGAGCATGAAATTAAACCAAATTAATATATTTTTTAATACTAGCTTTGTTTATGATTACCAGGGACGTGAGAATCAAGAGTTCTTTATAGTTCATGAGAAGATATAACTAAGTTAGTAAATGGCCTTAGATTAATTCTATTTTTTTATACAAACAGCTATAACCAATTCAATGCTACTCAATCCATGATTGAGTGAGATTAGTAGACTGTTTAACTTTAGTATTGTTATTCATATTTGATTAATTTAAAATAATTGAATAATCTAGTGCTTCCCAAATTACTATGAATTTTGTTTTATAGTTTAAATTTTTTTCTTAAATACATTGTAATTCGCTTATAGAAAACTTATGAGGGGACTTAGTGACTTAGTTTCTAATATCCAAATTTTCCAATTTCTGGGTTGGTCATCCGTCCCCTTTGGGTGCTGAGATAGTTAATACATAGTACATAACTGGAGGTTTGAATATCATCAAATCTTAATAATTCCTTGTAAATAACTTTTTATTTTCACCATTTCAAATACATATAAACCTATCTAATTTTTTATTGTAATTTTTCCTTATCTTGCATTTAGGGGAAAATGTGTTCCAGTTCATGAATCTTTTTGGAAAATTCTTTAAATTGATTCCTCCTTCCCATTTCTCCTTTATCAATAGACATAATTTGCCACATCATTTATTAAAGTATAATCATTTCATAAAAAATAATTTAACTAATTTATAACATTCTCAAATCTATTTGCCTTCATGAATCTTCATTTGAGTTCATGAATCTTTTTGGAAAATTCTTTAAATTGATTCCTCCTTCTCATTTCTCCTTTATCAATAGACATAATTTGCTACATCATTTATTAAAGTATAATCATTTCATAAAAAATAATTTAACTAATTTATAACATTCTCAAATCTATTTGACTTAATCGGTAAAGGCACTTTACTCCTATGAGGTAATTATTCCACTGCATCACCTGTGGAGCTACCCTGGGGGCTGCATGAGACCCCCCTGGAGCACGCCCAATCTATGTAAAGTGGGTACTCATCATTAAATAATTAACTAAAAAAAAAAAAATCGAAGAATGTGATCTCAGTCAAATCACCTCCTTGCACAACCATTCACTAAGAAACACAACATCCTAAAAAAGTATTAAACCCCAGACCCTCTATGGGTTGTATTGGTTTAGGATTTTTTATTTTATTTTGTTTTTACATCTGACAATTAGACTCATCTTATCCATCTTCAATTTTGTCTTCATACTTATTTTTTATGTCATTTCTTATGTTAATATTTAAGACGTCATATTTTTTTTTTTTTGTTTTTTTATAAAATGTTTGAATTTTGTTATATTATTAATCTTTTGTAAGATTTATTCCTTATATGTCCATTCAATTTTTAATCTTAAACCAAAAGTTAGAAGATGGACAAGATGAGCCCGAAACGTTGTCAGTTGTAACAAGAATCAAATATGATAGAGGAAGTTTTAAAAGGATTAAATTATTATACTGCAATAAATTATGAGAACACTTTTGCATAACATAAATAGTTTTTATTTATACAAAAAACTGAAATATTAGGGATTGCTGTTTCAATTCCTAAAATGGAATTTGAATGGCTATGACTGTTTTTGATGGAGTAAACAGTTTAAACTTTTTGCTCTGAGACATGGAAGAATGATGTCAGAATTTAGAACTATTATACAAGTTCCTTAGAAAGATTTAGGGATATTGGGAAGTAAAAATGTAGGATAATGGTATTCAGTGGCTTTCCTGAGAAATATCTTAACAATTTTTTTTTTGTTTATCTCAGATATATTTGTTTTTGTAACCATGTAAATGTACTAGGATGATCAACCCTTTCTTTTGATGCTGGCCCTCATATCTGAGGTTTTCTTTTAAGCAATTTATACCTAAGTCTTTTCTTGATTTAAAGATTATAATATAATACTATTGGCTCTGATATGTCATTTATCGGTTTATTGCTAAAAGTCATTCATTAAATACATTTTTGATGAAGATGGACGTTTTGGTGAATTTTGATCTTATTTATGGATAAAGAACTTTGTAAGTGCACTAAAACGACTCAAACCCTTTTATTTATCTATTAGAGTTATAGAAAGCACGTAATTTTCAGATTTCACAAAGGGAAAAATTTATCTAAGTTCCTACTGATTTAATGTTATAAAATGTCATTTGATGACTTTTGCAATAAACCTATATTTTGTATGAAATATGTATCAAGTACAAACCTCTAAAACAATTTATCTAAAATTGATTCATTATAAGATCTCACACGCAAAATGATTAACTGACAATTGATTAGTTTCATATCAAAGACAGACATCTCATTTTTAAAATGTGTGATTAAAAATAATCTGATAGAAATGGGAAGATTCATTTGTCAAATAATGTAGATAACTTGATTTCCTCATATTAGGAATATAGTTGCTTGATGTGTTCATACATTTGAAGCTAAACATCGTGTAAGACTGTTTACTATCTGTATTCCATCTTGGGAACAATTTTAAGAAAGGAAAAACTTTATTCTCGGACTTAAATCTGTTATAAAAACTCGCTAGACATAAATTGAATTATATTTCCTTTGTTAAAGATTAAAAAATGATCAAATATAAGTGTCTAAAATCAGGAAAGTTATAACATAATTAGCAGCGAATAAAGGAAATTGGGGACTTTTATTTTTTAACACCAAATCTATTATCTTCATTCAATATCAGATATCAGTTTTTATTGATAAAAATGAGAACTTTATTGATAAAATAGAATTCATTGGTTGGGTGTGTTTGGGAAGCACTGATTTGATAAATGAAGAGGATAATTTTCATTTAATTTTGTGTATATTTCTAGTCAAAATTTACTTAATTTAAAATTAAATGTACTTAGTATGTGATGATTGAATCTAATGTATGTATATTCAAAATTGCAGTTATGGGTGGCATACATTTTTAACTTCTATGATACAATGTTCTACTAGGCCGTCATTCATTTCTTTATTTTAATAAGTTTTAACTGAATATTTTCATAGTGGCAGTTACATTAAAATGACAGTGATGAATTAGAATAGAAATTCAGTTAACAAATTATTATTAAGTTATAATAATAAAAATGAAATCTAAATCGATGGGTTTCATAAATATAGTGTTAATGGTTGTGATGATTTCAATTTGCCATCTTTTTATAGTATGCTCTTAACTGCCATTTTAAGTGATTGTAAGTTTGCATTTATTGATTTGAATTGTAATATTAAGAAAGCAATGAACATGGTTATGTCCTAGATATGTATAGTACAAACTTTAACATTTGTCGATTGCTGTGATTGTATGATATATTTTCAAGTGCTTCTTAGTATTATTAATTGACTTTTTATATATCCAATAACTAATTTTAAGATGTTTTACAAGTGGAAAAAGGAAATTAAAATATTTTTTTACCATTTCAAAAATACATTTGTTTAACTCTCATGATTTAACCTCATTCTTCTAACTTCCTTGCCATATCCTATAACATTTGTTCAAAATATGTTCGAATCCTAATAAATAATCTTGAAACAGTGCGAAAAACAAACCTGAATGATCAAAAACCTTTCCTAAATTGAAATACAAAATATCAAGTAAAATAAAATAATTTAAAAAAATTATAATAGCAAGATTGTTGTGCATGCAGAATTTTGTTTGGTAATTAATGATTAGAAGGGTACAGTAAAATCTTGATTATCCGCTTACCAACCAACTATTTTTTTTCTATTGATCGTGATGGGACAGAAAACTGACATTGCATTATACTTTTATATTTAAGCTCAAAACATTTTATTTACAGTATTTTTACATTTTAAATTTACTGCTTACATACAGATGTATGTTTACATCCTTATTTACCCATCCGTAAATGAATAGTTTAGGTAGTGTTTCATCATTTTTTTTTTTATTAGATTTATAACTGTTCTTTAAAATAAATATTTATCTAAAATGTGTATGTTTGTATCTTGTGTATATATATATATATATATATATATATATATATATATATACACACTGAAAATAGTCAAATTTCATTTTGAATATATATATTACTGGAAACATATGTTCTCATTTTTTGTAACCAAATGATTCTTTAGAAGGCACTATTGTGCTTCGCAGTTATGCAAATCAGAAATTGATACGATTATTTTAATAGAATAATATTTCAAGTAAAGTTATAGTTAAGACAAATACTAAAAATAGTAGAAATTACATTTATAAATAGTTTCTTCTATTTTTGGTCTTATCCTTGACTGCTATCCTCAGCTTCTTCCACTAATTTTACTGTGTGGTCAACTATAAATAGGTTTTATATATGTGTATATATATATATATATATATGTATATGTAAAACTCTTTGACAACATTGACATATCACTTTATTTATGCAACAATTACTCTTAGCTATTGCTTTTAAAAGTGTATTGGAAGGTTATATCAATAAGAGTGTAAATTTAATTTGAAAGCAAAATGAATGATCAATGTTTTATTGCTCGTACCTATCATTTCATTTTTTGTATAGGTTTATCAAGGTTGTACTGTACTTAAAATAATGAGACTATGATAATATAATTGTTTTTGAGAATCTAGGTAATGATTGATGTATGAATATTTTGATTTTGTAAGAGTTTTACTGAATCTTTTTATTCTTTTCGATATATTTTTGAGGGGATCTGTAATTGTGCATGAATTAACAAGAATACCAATTATTGGTATAAAATTAGTTGAATTATTCCATGTTAATCTGTTTTTGTGACTGACAAATCAACAGTA